TAATATATTCTCTATTTCAGTATATCCTTTTATATTTTTAATTTTTTTTTATAATCCGCATTAAAACAACATACCCAATTCCATTTTATTTCTTTTTTCTTTTGTAAAAAAACTTTTTTTTTTGGCTTAAGTAAAGTTTTGGTGGTTTGATGTCATGAAAGTAACTACAGTATAACTCGTATTTGCTACATTTCATTCTTTTTTTTAAAAAAAGAAAATAGTTTTATTTGTTTGTCATTTATTTTGGCAATATATTTCAAAACATTTAAAAGGTGAACTAAGCTTTTTCCTAACCACGACAGAAAAATTTGCAAAGTGTAAAATATTTCCCATTTTTTAAGTTTTAAGATAGGATGATATTTCAATGTCTAAAACATTAACGTTGACTTCTTTGGATGATGTCCTCTTTTCTTTTTCTTTTTTCTTTTTTTTTTCAGAAAAATTCATTCCAAGTCTCATTCCATGAAACATAACATCCTAACCACTAACCTGTTATTCAATTTTGAATGTCTTCTTTTCTTATATACCTGCTTTATTCTAATAAAGTAATAATAAAATGTTTCCATTAACACACGATTTTAGAATTTTTCTTTTTCTTTTGGTAGGACCAAAAAAAAAAAAAAAGAAAATTGAAGCATTCACCTATGGAACTTAGAAATTATCCAATTGTCATGACTTGAAGATGAAGAACACCTATAATATCACGAAAGCTATTAAATAACTTAACAGGAAAGGTCAGTTAGCTAAACAATTTCAATAAAATACAATCATTGTAAGTGTAAAGAAAAATTTATTACAAAAATAGTTCAATATATGTATGAATCGAAATCCATATCATCCTATCCCAAATATCTCTATTTTCTTCGTTGAATAAGCCCTTCTAAATTTATTTTTCTTAGAAATTTCGTACACATAAAGTGAGAGATATATATTCGCTCAATGGGGTTTGTGTCTTATTTACGTGCAATTTATTTTCAAGACAATTAGATAATTATATTTCAAAAAATTTTACTTTCAGAAAGCTAATTTTGTTGCAGTGAATAATGTTGATAGACAGTGAGTTAAATTGCAAAAAAAACTCTAATTTAACTCACTAGTAAAAGGTAACAATAACTTGGAATTATGATAAAGCTGACACATCCAACATAAATGTAGTTATCATAACAAAAATCAACTTCCACTGAAGACACTGGAGAAGACAAGGGATGTACAGATGCAATTTCGTTTTAATCAGCTAAATTTTGCGTATATGTTTCCAAAAAAATTTGTTAATATAGATTTTTTTTTAATTAGTTTTCTTTATAAATTTCATGTTTACTACTCCCTCCGGTCCTTAATATAAGACATTTTGATTTGCTCTAAATTTCACCTAGTATATATTTTTAATTTGTAAAAAAACCTTAAAAATATATTTTTAACATTCGTTTTATTCTCTTAGTTGTTATGAAATATTTTAAAATTTTTTTCATCGATTAAAAATACATATTAGGTGAAACTATGGACGAACCAAAATGCCTTATATTAAGGACAATAGTTTTTAAAATTTCTAACTCCACCACTAATTAAAGAGGTTTTTAAGAAGCAGAAGCTTTTAACTTTTTTGCCGAAATGTATAGCATGGATTTATCCAAGAAGACTAAAATAAAATTAAGAAAAAAGAAGGCTAACATTAAACCTAAAGATGGTGTTTTCATGTTGGGAAACAATTTCTCAATACGTTCATAAAGATTCAAAATGATGTCTCACGCGCTTCTTAATTAGGTGGTTTAGATTTTGACACTTTCAATATCAGTTAGGCTTTGTCTTAACCATTAATTATGGATATGCAAAATACAAATATGTGCCATAAATGAACAAACAATGGAGCATATATACAGTATACCAGATTAGGATCAAATCATAACATCTTCTTATAAAAAGATGTATGGAATTAGGTCAAGATACCATTTTGGTGCGCTTTTACTAGCTAACCATTTCAATCTATAGACTGCAAATTGTGTACTTGAGGACATTCTTATTCAAACAAATAATATTGGCAACTAACATAATATTTGTTTTGTCCTATTTTGATTGTCCGGTTTGGCAATTGAAATTTCAGAAAACTGGACTTATAAAAATGAACCCATATTACGTTCTCATGTCAAACTATATCAATGGTTTAATTACTAAAATTAATTAGTTCAAATAGTAGACTTTAGTTTCCAAAAATAAAGCTATTAAAATAGAACAAAGAGAGAAATGATTATTAGTAAAAAAAATGACCAATAAATCTTATTCAATGAGTCTACTGCAATGTGTAGGATAGCGTAGTAGCCTTTGTATCTAATCTAAAGGAAAAAAAATTCCTCTTTTTTTGGAGAAAAATAAAATGATGGACAAATAAAAAGTTATACTTTAATTTTTAATCTCAAATTTTGGTTAAAAAATTTTATTGTTTGATATATTTAGTGAATTGCAACTTATACAAAAACTACGTCCACCATTATGTAGTGTAATTCAATTATGAAAAATTGAGATATTATTTCCACTTGAGCTCAGATATGCATGTAACATAGTGAATATATCCCTGCAATAATTTTTTGCCGTAATAAATCTAGGCTACATTTTGCATGACAAATCCCCACATAATTCCCTTTATTATTTTTTTAAAAAAGAACACAGTGGGACACATTACATAACTTCAGCCTCAGTAATATTGAAATGTCACTCCATGCCCATAAATGAGATCTAAATAATAATTGATCATACATGCACATAAATTAGAAAGAAAAAAAATGTATATATAAAAACTCAAATTTCTTCAATAAGAATGTCCAACAAGTCGTAAAAATATAATAAAATAATAGTTTATATTGCGCATACATTTACATTTCTCTATACGAGAAATACTATATTATCATCCATCCTATCTGAATAATTCAATGAATGTAGTAAATTAGTAGAACACAATGTTGTAAATTAGTAGAACACAAGTTTAGATTATTTAACCCAACCATCTACAGTACATTTTTTGGTGTAAATGTTTAGATTTGGTCAAACTCTCAAGTTGATCAAAGAGAATGTTTCCACGCGTTTCACTTTGCGCGTACTCCTTGGTTTCCAAGTCTCTCCAACTCAACAATTTAGTAGTTCCTAAAAACAAAAACCATTTGTTTTTTGTTCCTTTTATGAAAAAAAAAAACACCAACATTAAAAAGGTTATATAGAGTAAAAGCTAAAAAATCCATCATAATAATAGAGTAATCATAATTAACCCAAAAAAAAAAAAACACAAAACTAATAAAAAATAAAATAAAATAAAATAAAACTGGGGAATTCGCCGGCTGTTATGTTGCATTGTCTTTGGACTCTAACGACGCCATCCTCACCATATAACGTTCAACTCTTTCCTCCCCCAAAATTTCCCCCATCCCCCCATCTTCCCCCAAATCTCATCCTCCATTTTTTTCCATTTCCTTCCTTCCACTTTCCAGGAAACAAGAAAACCAGAAACAAAAAAACACGCACTCACACACTAAGGTAGCATCCCAAACCCAATCAATCATTTCTCTTACCATTCCACAATACATCACACTCCTTCGATTTGCCCTAGATCTCACTGTCCCACGAAGAGATCTACGTTTCAACACCGTTAGCTGTAGCTGGATTAGTTTTCTCGTTCGATCAGGTAAAAAAAAAAAAAATTCTCCACTCTTGTTTTCACTGGGAATATGGGGATTTTCATTTAATGCTTTTTGAATTCAATGGGAAGAAAGAAAGTTTGGATGGGAAGCTGGGAATTGGAGGAATCTGTTTTTTGTTTGTGATTTTGATTTCGGAATTTTTGTTGTTTGTGGAGGGAATGAAGTAAATGCTCTGTAGTGGAGAGTCACATTTTTTGGGATCACGGGATTATGTTGTATTTTTGTGCGGGTTCGTAGTGTTTTACGAAGTATAGAAGAATTTATACGTATTTCGATTTATATTTGGAATGTGGGATTTGTTAGATTTGGTGTGTCAACCTGGGGGGAAGTTTGACTTTTTCGTCTTTGTCGAAAAGTCATTATTGTGGTAATTTTAGTGTGTGTTTTTTTTTTTTTTCTAAAATTTCTTCGTGGGATTTAGGGTGTTGGGTTGTTAGGGGTAGTTCGGAAAAAAAATTGTTTCTTTGTTTGGGCCATCTCAACTTTCCTCTTCGATCCCAGAATCTAACTTCGTCTTCTGCCTTTTGTGTTCAAATTTTATTGTAAGTTCTGGGTTTTTTTTTCATGCTCTGCTTCTCGAGGATTTTATTGTGCTTGTTTTGATTTGGTTTCTATGGGAAAATGGTCTTTTATGGATTTGTATGTTGCTTTTTATAGTTCTTGCGGTAGTTACTTAATGCTATCGGATTATCTCTGTTCTTGGAGAGTTGATTTTTTGTTATTTTAAGATCATGCCGTATTGTTTATTAGTCAAGTTCGGAAAGGTTTTAGCTCCTCGTGTACTGTTAAAGTTTTCTGCAATCAACTGGTTAACTTAAGATCTGAGATTTGGTTTTTGCTTCTTGTGCTTGGCTGATTTTGACCTTTCAAGTGGTAATGAGAATGAAGAATATGAATTGGTGTAATTTTGAGAGGCTAGCCAAGTCAAATGTTTCTTAGGCAGTGTCTGGTTTGGCAAATTGGGTCTCAATTGCAGAAATAGGGAGGCTTTTATTTGCTTGCAATTCTCCCCCTCTCTCTCTTTGAGTATTTCAAGTGATTACATTGCCTGGTCCAGCACAAATGTCTTTAACGTAAAAAATGATTGTACTTCTGTTATCATTGTTGGAGCTGAAGTGCATTTAAATATTTACTCTTTATTAGGTTCTTGTTTTGATTATTTGTCTTGCTTTTTACTTTGCAGGTTCAGACTCTTCCTGAATCTATTGCTGAAGGACCTTATTTGCCGCTAGGTCCACATTAATTAGGGTGAATGCAGTTGTAGGGATAAAAAAATTTAAGATTTTGAAGACAAACTTGTAATGCATTGTGTCTAGGATGAAGTCAGGTCAGGCGTGGCGTTTAGGCATGAAGGACATGCAGATATTGCCTGCGCCTCGCCAGCGCGGCCATTTGAAAAAACCAACATGGATTATTGTGTTGGTTTCTTTAGTCAGTATGTTCTTAATCTGCGCATACGTTTATCCTCCTCAGAATTCTGCTGCATGCTATGTGTTTTCATCCAATGGTTGCAAGGGATTTCAAAAATGGCTTCCACCTGCTCCTGCCAGAGAGTTAACTGATGATGAGATAGCTTCTCGTGTTGTAATTAGAGATATTCTTAACACGCCTCGAATTGTATCAAGGACTCCTAAAATTGCATTCTTATTCCTGACCCCTGGCGCTTTACCTTTTGAGAGGCTTTGGGATAAATTTTTTCAGGTTGATATTCTTATGTGCTGGTACTTGTGTTTCCATTGGTGATCATAAGATGTGGAGACCCAGTGCTCCTAGTTAACTGGCATGGTTTAGCTTAAGTTTCATCATGAAAAGTTGGTAGAATTTTAGATTTTGATTGATAGATTACTTGTAATCACACAAATTATTCAATGGAGCTTTAAATTGTATTGACAGGGCCATGAAGGTAGATTCTCTGTCTACGTGCATGCATCCAAGGATAAACCTGTACATTTCAGCCGCTATTTCATTAACCGTGAAATCCGAAGTGACAAGGTGCGTAGTTCTGTGTCCAAAATTTATTCTTTAATCCAGATACCGGTCCCCTCTTTGAACTTTGTTCATATACTAGTTTTTGCTGTTACCCTTTCGATTATGTATTATTCCTGCTATCTTTAGTTTAATGTCTGGTAGAGTGTCTTTATTTTTGTTTTGTTTTGTTCTCTTTTTGGTTTTTGCTCTTCTTGAGTGACGTAAAAGCAGAATGAAAAATTCGTTGAAAATAAAACCATGTACAATCATTTAGTAGTGATTTCTTTTCATTAAAAAATTCTTTTGCCTCTCTTTTGTCTGTATGTGGTTGTCCATTTTACATTTTCCTTACAGATGAAATTGTACTACATTTTGTTTAATGCAATTTTCAGCTTTAAAGTCTTTCTTGATGGAATTAACTGGTGTATTGTTGGTTCTTTTCAGGTAGTTTGGGGAAAAATCTCTATGGTTGATGCAGAGAGACGCCTGTTGGCAAATGCACTTCAGGATCCTGACAACCAGCATTTTGTGCTATTATCCGATAGGTGACCCATTGATTAGAATGATATTCTTTTTTTTGTTATAATTTTTGCAGTCAGTTGTACTGATCCATAATTATCTGAATCACAGTTGTATACCACTGCGTGAGTTTGATTTCGTGTACAACTATCTGATGTACACAAATGTCAGTTTTGTGGACTGGTAAGTGTGATATCTTATATTCTGTCCACCAATTATTAACTTTCCAATTTGGTTCTCTTTCAACTTCCAGCATTGCTTTAAGCTTTCTGCCTTGCCTTAATTGATTGGCATCTTGGTATTTCAGTTTTGAAGATCCTGGACCGCATGGAAGTGGCAGATATTCAGACCATATGCTTCCAGAAGTTGAGAAGAAAGATTTCAGAAAGGGTGCACAGGTTAGCCAACTTTGTGTTTTAATGGTATTATTTTGAATTTAGAAAAGAAATTCTATTTTGTAAGTGCTAGCTTAGAGACATCTGAAAGTTTTCAAAGCTTAGAAACTTCTGCTTTTTGGAAAAATTGTTAGGTAAGCCAATTTGTGTCTTTAATTTTAGCAATGTCTTTTCTTCTTCTGTAAGTGCGTGCATAGAAGATATGAATAATCTTTTCATAGCGTAGATACTTGTGCATTTTGGGAGAATTGTCTTTAATATCTGAATGTGCTATTGCTCTCTTTTGTATGTTGTTCACTCGGCATAGCTGCTTGTGATGCAAATTGTACGTTGTGAAAGTTGGCTCCTTCACCTACGCAAACAACTTTTATTTTGATGAGATTGCTTGGATTTTTGAATAAGGAAACAGCATCGTGTTTTAGTTGCAATATATGTTTCTTTCCTTTTTACTTGCAATGCTTTTAGATTTTAATAGCTTATTGAGTCTATTCAGCTCGGCTAATTACGTTATTGTTTTTAAACAGCTGAATGTAGTTTTTGATATGTTTTTTTCTTCAATATATGTGCAGTGGTTCACAATGAAGCGACAACATGCTATTATTATTATGGCTGACGGTCTATATTATTCAAAGTTTCGGGACTATTGTAAGGTAATTTTAGTCTTGGAAGGATTGAGATTTAAGTTTTGGACTCTTTGTATATAGTTTGTGCACACTTTTACTATGATGGAAATTGCTTTCATTTACTCTTTGTGAACAACTACGAAGGTGTCTAGTGGCTGTCTTTGTTTTTCTAGTTGCTGTCTGATTATTTAATGATTGCCGCTTTGTCTTCTATACAATTGGCACAGATACATGGACTTCTAATTTTTATCTGGTGACTCTCAGTGGTGGATGGCCTTTTGCTTATAAATCCCTTTATAACAGATATGTTGTCCCCAGCTGTCGGCTTCTTTTAGTTTTCTGATCACCCCAAACTACAAAAGCCTAGGTATAGAAAATCCACTCAGGAATATTCAGATATGCTCAGATCTAGAAACTTTTCAAAGACCAATGTTATGATGCTGGTGATGTGAAGGACTGTTACATGTGCCCAAATACATTTGGTGTTTGACAGAAGAAATAGGAGGTCTTCAGGAAGAGAAGGGAAGTTAGGGTTAGAGTAAAAGAAGTTGAAATAAATTCTTAAATCCATTTAATTTAATTAAAGATTACTACAGTTTACCTGCTTCCCGTAAATAGTACAAGTTTCTGCAGTAATCTTGCCTTTTGTTTTATGCTACTTAACTAGATGATCCATATTAGTGTTCTTTTGAACCGTTTAATATTATAATTTAAATAATTTTCACTGATAGTGTTGCTTCTCTATATTTGTTTCATTGACTTTTGAAAATTTGAGTAAAGTGTGGATATGTAGGCACTTAGTTTATATGTTGGAATTGTTTGGAAGTCGTGGATATTCGCTAGCTATGCTCATGAGTTTTCTTCTAGTGGTTTATTGTTTGGCTAACTCCTTGTGAGGTAGGTTCACTGCATAAACTAATAAACATTTCTTGCCTGATTTTACAGCCGGGCATGGAATTTGGAAAGAACTGCTATTCGGATGAGCACTATCTTCCGACATTTTTCCATGTAGGAATCATTTCTTGTCATGATTCCTCTTTTTATTTATTGCTGGATCCTCTTTTTAAGTTAAAATGTTGAAAATTTCCTTTGATTGTCCCCTTAGATGCTTGATCCAGCTGGAATTGCTAATTGGTCTGTGACACATGTTGACTGGTCGGAGGGAAAGTGGCATCCTAAATCTTACAGAGCTCAGGATATTACGCATGAGCTTCTGAAGAATATTACGGTATGTGCTTTTTTGACTTCTCTGTACAACATTTGGCTGCTTAAACATCTCTGTTTCATTTGCCTTGTCTTGGTGGACGAAAAGCATCTGTACATCTTAATGTTCTTGGCTGAACAAAATCGTGTCTTTTAATGGACAACATGAACTTCTAAGTGGTCGTATTCCTCATTGATGCTAGAACTTCAGCTTGTTAATCATCTCCTCATGTATACTTGAACTTGAGCATGTTTGAATTCTGTGATTACAGTTAGCTATTTCAAGCATGTTACTCTTAACGCGTGTTTGACAAATTTTCTCGTTATTCTGCAGTCTATAACAGAGAGTGTGCATGTTACTAGTGAAGAAGTGGTATGGATTTTCTTGTAACCCTATTTCCTTTTAACCCCCTTTTAATCCCTCTTCTTAAGTAGCAGTTTTGGTGCTTCTCTGCTGGTTCTGACAACTGCTTATTGGTTCATGCAGAAACAAACCCAGACTAGACCATGTTTGTGGAATGGAAATGAAAGGCCCTGCTACTTGTTTGCAAGGAAATTTTTACCAGAAGCTCTAGAGAACTTGCTGCATCTTTTTCCCAACTATACATCAATTTGAGAGGGTTAATACCATAATTTTATTCTTTGGTCGATTTACCAATTACATACGACCGCCTTGCATTTATCTCGTGTCTTTCAGTGTTGTAAAGTGCCTCTTGTTATATAGAAAGACTGCATGCTCCCCTTCGTCGCTTCTTTTTGTGAGCAATGGCAACTGTTTCAGCAGGAAAACATGGTGTCCCATCAATGTTTTAGAAGGCTAAATGGTGCTGCTGGCGTTGCTATTTTGGGGATAAATGATGACCTATTGTTTACTTTTTTGTTTTCCTCGTATCTTCTGTCAATTTTGGGCTTATTTGATGTCAAATATTAGTGTTGAAAGAACAAAATTTTGGGGACATAATGCAACTCTTTGTATGTTTGACCTTAGTAGAAGTAGCAAATTTGAAGTTGCATATATGGCCCTAGCAGAAATTACATTCTGAATTCCCAAGTTCTGTGTTCTTTTGTTATTTAGTTCTTATTCCACGTAGTTTTTCAGAATTCAGGAATGTGTATTACGAACAGTTTGTTACCTGTTAGTGGAATTCTCAAAATGCAAAGAGTTTATCCTCTGCTAGTGTTATTTAGAAAATTCTAGTAAATGGGATACCATTGTTTCATTTTGTTTCATGCCCATACTTTTCCCCTTATGGCTTGTTTAATGATGTCTCTTGTCAGCGTAGCGTTTTGATATCCACTGTAACCATTGTTTAAGAGTGGGATAAACCTTCACACTCGGAATAAGAAGTAACCCTTCAACATTCCTTTTTAAAGGAGAACAGTGATGATGAGCTTGCATTGCGAATACGGCTCCTGAGGTTAGATAATACTGATCATTGGTGCATTCCCACATTTCAGCTAGTGTCTCCATATCAGCAGAAGTTCTGTAGATGTAAGGAGTGGTTCAGGTGGTACTCAAGGCATCGAGCTTAATTTTGTGTCTTTTTGAACAATTTTTTTTTTCCAGGTAGCTCAGAAGATTCCAAGTACAGGTACAAAGTACAAGCAATGACAATGGCTATAGCAAATTGCATTGAAAATTAACCTAGCTAACTACCAGTATACAACAATCTACATTCCAATCTACATCGAAAATTTATCATCCCAATTTTACAACATTGTACATATTAAACCCACATGTACGTCAACTTTTGCCATCATCACCACCCCTAAGCTTACCTGTTGGCTCAGAGGGTAGTTGAAGCAAATCAGAGGCAGCATTACCATTCAAAACTCCCCATCATACGTATCTGCCATCAGAACTTTCGACACCGTGGCCTGCTCAGTTTCACCCCCACAAGAATCATTGCCCAAAATGCATGAATCTTGATCCATGACCCAACCAGAACCAAATTATTGGAAGATCTGCAGCAGATGGTTTTCACTAATTACTCGAGCTGAAGAGATGAGAGAAGCAGCCTAAGGTTACAAGCACCGTGATATTGGGTCAAGCCAATAGCACCATCAGCTGGATCAGAATCGTCAGGAAACAAGAAAATGTATGCTGACCCGGAATCTCTGACACAAACATCTGATTTCTCCTATCTGTGATCAAACCAACAGGTAAAATCTAGGAGAAAATAAATCATCAAGAAGAAACATAGGGACAACTCAATTTTATCACCAAGAAAAGGCAAAACAGTCATGCTGGAAATATTACTTAGCTAAGTGAAAACATGCAACTAACTTGGAAAGGGAGGTTGCGATGATGGTCATGCATGAATTTTAATATGCTGAACGAAATCACGGTGCTTTCATTTGAAAATCTGAGAGGCCTTGTCTTGGTACAGAAAGATCTACTATTCTTTTCACACCCATGTTGGAGAAGGGGAGAGAAGGCTGCTAAGGTGGATGGATGAGAGGAGACAGCTAGCTGGAATATATCACTACAATTGTTATATGGGTAAGCTATTTCAACCACAGGTTTACAGGAAGCAAGTTACACCTAAAAGTCAGTCAGGAAGTATCACATTTTAGACTACATCTGAACTGGTAGAATCCGAAATTAAAAGACCTTGGAATCAGCCAATAACAGCCGATAGCATGCGTAGGCACAGGTCCCACTTTCCTTCACCAGTTTAGGTCTTCTAAAGGACGGTTATTGGGGGATTCATAATTGTTTCTGGTGCCAGGTTTCACCAACTAGGTTGCAAATAAGATTCCAGCATTCTTTTTAGCCCACCAGCTATACTATAAGTCTAGACTAGCTCCTTTTTCTTTTAGGAAATACTTTTCCACGAGAATTTTCAATTATCTATTTTCCAACTCACTAGGAACATTTAACATGATTTCAACAATTACAGTAGCCAATACGAAAATCGCACCCAGTCAGTTAAAATCCTTCAAGAATTTTCTGTCCTCCATTCTTAGTGCTTTGTATTGACAAAAATATTTCTCTCAATGAAAATATTTACTGAAATAAACATGACTTCACTCACCAATAAAACCCTGAAATGAGCACATATGTCGACCATTCTTTGTTGCTGCTGAGAAGAGCAAATCTCACCTACATTTGCACAGGCTGAAAGGTCTTCTGCAAGAATCCAAATTATGTTGAGTTGAAGAAGCCAAACAGGTTCCATGATAATCCAAGTTAGATCAGCAAAGGCAGAGCCATCATCATCAACTGCAACGATAACTCAAAAATCAAATTGATGCTGATCCAATGGTTCTCTATGTATCACACAACCAGGATCGAATATTTCCGTGAGTGCTAAAGCAGATTGTCAAAGATAAGAATCTAGAACCAGGCATGCAACGAAATCAAATGAGAAAGTATGCAACTCACCATCATTTCTACACCTGTCCAACAACAGTCCAAAAAGTAGTTGTTCAGGTAACATGTTCAATGTGCAGTACGAAGAGATAGAGGAGCCCAAAAAGCCTGAAATGAAAAGAACAAGGTGTTGAAGAGCATATGAGAAGAAGTAATGAAATTTATAACGGTAACTGTTTATTTTCTCAAATTAAAGAGTCCCTGACTAGAGAGAGTTAGCATAGGCTTCATCAACAACATATCAGCTAAGCTCTTATCCTTTCTCAGTGCAAAAGGGAAAAAAAAAAAAACTCTAAGTTCTTATCCCACTTGACCACAAGGGGATCATTTAGTAGCTGTCATACTCAATTTCGGTTCAAATTAAAAATGTCCTCCGTAATAGTTTATTTTCTGTTATTCTTATGCCTTTGGAAGGTAATAGACTGACAATTGAAAACCAACGAGAGAGTCAAACCCTAGCAGTAGGAATTTAAGAAAGACAAGAGTTGGTGAAAGCTACAAAAGCTTTAATATTATATAAATCAGAAAATGTGAATCACAACTACTGAGGAACCTCTCTATTTATAGAGTTGCCTGGCTTATCCCTTCAGCTACTAGGATTACTAATTACCTAAAACTAATAAGAGTAAAACTAAGGTAACATGAGACAGGAACATAAGAAACTTAATTCTAAAAATACATTTTAGTTATTTCCTAAAACCTAATTTAAAGCTATTTCTTGAACCTCTGACATCACCTTCCCATTCCCTTTCGACTTGGATTATTGAGTTCCACGTTCCCTTCTCATCTTAATGGAGCATCTAAAGTTTTCCTACAAACATGTCAACCAACTTAACGCGTTTCTCTCATTTTCCCCTCTATTGGCTCGATTCACTTCCTTTTTCATGCATTCATTAGCAAATCCTATCTAATCTTATGTACCACATATTCATCTCAATATTCTCATTTGTTTTACCTCATTTTTGAAGATGACAAGCCACGGGATCAACTCAAGAATTCAGGATATAATTATGATCAGAAACTGTGTGCCATGTAGTTGACTGGAATTGCCTAAAATGGATATTAAAAACATTTCCAATTGCTGCTGACAATCTCCCACAACAACATACCTAGTATATTCCCAACTTCATTGGGTCTGGGGGGTCGAGATGTACACAGCCTTGCCCCTGTATCTCAATACAGAGAGATTGCAAGTACGAGCCAAGATGCATTGGTGCATTTGGTGTATTGATTTCTAGCAACTTCAATAAAAGTAAGAAGCTCCGGAATTTAATTGAGCCATTTTAATCTAGTCCATTATTAGCACAAAGCTAAAAGAAGGTATGCCTATTCCAATTCCATTTGCAGTGGACATAATAATTTTTAGATTCAAAACAACTATTAATCATTTTAAATTGTACTCTATCTAAAACAAACTTCAAGAGAACAGGTTTTTTTTAGAGAAACTGAAAAGGACCTGATTAGATACCACTACACATAATCTTTTTAGCCAGCCAGAAAGTTTCAATGTTGGCTCACCAATGAATTAAAAAATATATCTTGGAGAATGGGGATGCAACCAATGAATGCAACTCTTGGAGGATTGGGATTCAAAAACAAAGTACTTCAGTACCATGCTAAAGAAATATCCCGGTCAAGTTGTTCATAGCTTTGACTGCGTAGTTTTTGTGCATTCCAGCATATCTTTTGTGAGGGAAAATTCTTCATCAAATTAACTAAAGACAAAAATCTTACTGTCAAATACCCAAATATCCACCTGGAACGTTCCCCCAAGACACTACTTCAATTCTATCTATTAATTATCTATGACACCAAAAGAACATAATATACACCAAGATGCTTAAATAACACCTTCGGAAGTAAGGTATCCACATAATTAGCAGTGAAAAGTTGTTTATTGAATATATAACAAAGCAACAGATCAAGGATGACAAAAGCGAAAAAAACAAGTGCTTGTGATTGGTAATACACATGGAAAAGAACTCATTCGATATATCAACAAAAGTATGGTATAGGATTTTTTTTAAAAAAACTATGGTATAGGAAATTCAGAGACGAACCTCCAAAAATGCCCGCTGTTCCCCAATTAACTTATAAGATAGTTCAGCAGCTTAAATGCAGTACACCAAGGTTAGAGATAACGTTTATAGCAAACCAGAGATCATATTCACCAGTTCGTTGGCCTTGCTGATTTCTCCTTTTGCACATAGCGATGCTACATATGCATATGAAGAGTCAAAGTTTTGGGATTTCGACACTTTCTCATCAGTAGGCTTACAAATAGTTTCTAGTGTCTTATCATCATTGCACACTGCAGGTGTACTAGCGTCAAAACTAAAATTTAAAATGTCTGATTTGCTTGTTTCTTCCAAATTCATATCAGGTAACTCCTGTTTTTCATGTATATCAGTACCACCGAATCGCCTTCTAACAGGAAAGCATACAGCTCCAACTTCATCAAGGATGGAAACAGCTTCTTGTATACTTCCTCTCTCACACAAACTAACAAGGAACCTATGAACAGAATCCATCTCATTACCAGTATCAAGGCCACTCAGAATATCAATAACAGATTGGCTTTGAAGCATCTGTCTTAGAATACTTTGAGATTCTTCCATCCTTCCTTTAGCAATAAGGCCTCTTATCAAATACATAAATCCAAGGAAATCAGGAGATATGTCCTTCGACTTAAACTCAGAGAAGAACTCCAGCGCTCCTTCAATGTCACCTCTCTGACAATATCCATAGATTATAATACTCTTGGTGAACTGATCAGGCTTGATGTCTACAGCATCCAGATCACGGATCAGCTGCAAAGCTTTTTGCATTTGACCAAACTTGCAATAACCATAAATCAAAGAGTTATAAATACGAATATTGGGCTTCACGTTATTATCAGACATATCGTCTAACATCATCCTGGCATCAGCTAAACGACCTTCTTTGGATAGTGAATTTATAAGCATAGCAAACATGGTTTCGGAAGGTAACTTGTTAATTTTTACCATTGAATCGAACAATCTCAGAGCTTCGACAAGACATCCTTGATGAAGTAGCTCATTCATGATTGCATTATAGGAAGCAATGTTAAGACAAATGCTCTTTGCTCTGTCAGAACCACAGAGCTCCAAGGCCTTATCAAGATGCCCTTCCTTGCAGAGGTCGATTATTATGCTTGAGTAAATCAACAAATCTGTATCCAACAAATCTTTTTTGGCTTCTCTAAGAAGCTCATACGCTTCCAGAGTTCTACCATATCTTTGAAGGGTCTGAAGAACAGCAACCACAGAAATGGTACCGGACGAGTTTTGGTTCAAGTTTTTGATAAATTTAAGGGCACTCTTCACATCCTTCAAGCACAAGAAGTTTATTATTACTTTAATTACTCTTGATTCAGCGATGCCATATTGCTTAAGGTACATATTGAGGATTATCCGAGCAAACATGCTTTCGCCATCTCGCAAAAGATTCTTCAAGATTAAGAAGTATGATTCACTGATAACAAATGACTTGTTCGTTATCATCAACAGTAACAAATCCAATATTATGGTAGAATAATTCTTCTGGCACAGAAAGCTGATAGCATAGTTACCTAATTTCCCAAATGCTTCACTATCAATATCTTTCATCCTGTCAATCAGAGAATAGACTCCAGAAGCACCTTTAGCATTATACGTCATATTGAATAACCTCCTATACAGTATCTTCTTTAATGGCAAGCCCCTTGCAACCAGTTCCAGAAACACCTCAATAGCCATATCGATCATATCCTTCTGACAGAGACCATTAATAATACTTTCATAGCATGAGGCTATAGGTTCTGATGGCCCCTGAATGTCATCGAGTATCTCAAATGCTTCATAAAACCTTCCTTCTTTAGAGTATCCATGAACCATTGTGCAATAAGTAATGGAAGTTGCAGTCAAGCCCATTTCTGGCATTCCCTTGTAAATTGCATAAGCATCCTCAAATAAGCCCATCATAAACAGTGCTTTTATAAGTACATTGCACATAACAATATCCATACCAATTCCAGCCGCTTCAAATCTCTTTTTCATTTCCACCATTCCTGCAGTGTTTCCTTCAGTGACATAGCCATGTAACAATGTACTATAAGTGAAAATATCACCAACAATACCCTTTGAAAAATCATTAGCATCAGAAATCCTTCCTGCTTTGCACAGCCCATTAATGACTATATTATATGTAACAACACTAGGCTTTATTCCGTCCATATCCATCTCATCAAGCAGCTGAAAAACAGCATCAAAATCAGCCCTCCGGCAAAATCCATCAATCAATACCGCATATGAGAATTCATCCACCTCAATGCCAAAACCTCCAATCATCTTGAACAGAGCAAGAGCTTCTTGCAACTTGCCTTTCCTGCAAAAACCTAACATCAATGCAGTAAAAGTAACTATATTTGGTTTCAATCCACTCTTTAACATCCTGCTAAAAAGGCCAGCGGTTTTCTCTACATTTCCGTCCTTTGAAATCCCATCTATAAGAACAGTATAAGCAACGGTATCCATCTTAGTTTTTCTACCTAGCATCTCTCCGTATTTTCGAAATGCTTCCTCAACCATCCCCTCTCTAAAATAGCCACAAATCCAACTACTGTAAAATACAACATCAAATGACAATCCATCTTTGTACATCCTAGACACCATGTAAGAGACCTGATCTATCCTACCAAGCATAAAATAAGCACTCAAAAGCACAGTATATGTAACAACATTAGCCTTCAAAGCATCTGAACTTACAGCATTCTCATAAAACTCGATAGCGAGTTCAGGCTTCCCGATTCTCAAAAAACCATTAATTACAGAACTACATACAAAGTTATCAAAAGGGTAGCTACATTTCCCGGAAGTCATTAATTCCAACACTTCAATGACTCTATCCATCTTCCCCTGAGAGCTAAAACCATAAATCAAAGAACAGAATGTAAAAGAAGAGGGCACTATACCATCAAGACCCAAAGCATCTCGCAATACCATCAGACCCTTTTCAGGATCATTCTTATTTCGGGAGTATCCCTGAATTAAGTCATCAAAGATTCGAGTTTGATTGAGAACCTGGGTTTTCCCCACGCTGTTTCTCAGGAAATCCAGAGCTTCCTCATATTTCTGTTCCTTGATCAAGGCTCTTGTGAAGATTTTCAGCGTGCCGGACTCCACTTCGATTTGGTTTGAGTTCATTTGGGAGAACAAATTGATAACACATTGAAATCTTCGGTTGTGGGAGAGAAACACGAGGAAGCTATTGAACTCTTCGACTGTCGGATTGAAACCATTCTTCAGCAGAGAAACGAGGTACGGAGTCTTACAGTTACTTCTCCGACATGGGATAAAGAGTTTGGAGAGAACCATGAGGCTTGGAAAGCCAATTCAGGGATACTGCCGGAAATTGGCTCCGGCGGTTATCCCTCGTCAAGACCCCGGCAGTTCTCCCCTTTCCTGCTCTCTTTTCGGGTTGGGTTTTGATACAACCTAGGTTTTCCGTCCAGCTGAACCGCCGTTCTCCGCCGCAACAAGCATCACCACATCAATCCTTTTTCATTTCTTGGGACCAGAGGAAACAGAAGTAATGGTGTATTTCTTTTTCGGGGGGAAAAGAAGCATCATTTAACTGGGAAAAAAAAAATATATTGCTACTCCTTTTCATCTCCTAATACTATATATATAGATATATTTGGTGTCATAATGCAGAAGCTCCCAAATTTTACAATCAATTCAAAATTGGTCCTTTTACCACTTTTAATTTTCTTTAACCAGTCTTCTGTTACAATTTTTTTTTTCTTTTTTGGGTTAAACCAGGACGGTACCTGACGGTTTCTTTCTGTTACATAATTGTAGTGATTTGATTTGATGTAACACTTACAAATCATTTTAGATATTTACTGATAAACGTTTTGAATAATGTATTTTAAGGCCAAAATGTCGCCAGAATCCTTGTTATTTGATACTTTTAGTGTATTATTTTTGTACTTAGAAGGTTGGACCTTATACCAAATTTTGTTCAGTTATTGGCTTATTGCCCCTAGATTACATTGTCTTCCTATTCTATAAAAAGTATTTCCATTGCTTTTCCCACCAAAAAGAGTTATAAATTATAATGTACTTCCTTCATCCCAAAATTATTGTCCAGTTTAGATTTTTATTTTAATACAAATTGAACTAAAACAGACAATTCCAATTGGACAATAATTTTAGATGGGAGACTGAGAGAGTACATATACTTTTGTTTCATTTTCAATATTCTTTACGATCCAGAACTGTTAATGATAACGGTTAATTCGTTACATAAAAGTATGACAATTTACTCTTTAATTAGTAAGAAATTAGGGGTGTTTCTCAGATTAGTTCATTTTAGTTAACTAGTTTTGTGTTTTTAATTAGGCAAGGATCTGAGTGAACATTAGCTGAAAAAGGGGGCTTATGGAACAAAAATTGGGCTGTTGGATTCAAATTTGCTGAGCTGGTCAAAAGTAACTTCAAGAAACAAAGCAGATTGGGAGTAAATAAGGGTGTCCCACTATAGAAACCCAAGAGCATGCTTGTCCCCTTGGCTGAAGAACCAACCACCCACATTGATCAATCTGCTGCGATACTCTCTTTGGAAGAAGGGGAAAAGGCCAGTCAAAACCGGATTCAAGACACAAGGCATTGGGGCTAATAAAAAAATACACAAGCATGGTGAGACTCTCTTGGAAGAAGAACCGACAACAAGCCTATAAAAGGAGTTGCATTTCTAGCATAAAGAACACATATCAGAGGACAAAAAACACACATACAATACACCAACACTACACAGACCCGAAGAAGAGAGGAAGGAAGTCCAAGAAGAAGAAGCCCAGTAGCAGCAAGGAGGGATAACAGGCCTCACTCGCCTGAGTGACTTCTGTCACTCAGGCGAGTGACCTGTTGTCCAGCGTTCAGATTTGCTTCTTCCCGCTTCTTTCTTTTCTTTCTTATATTTTCTGTAGTTTGTATGTGTAGTTATTCAGATTCATTCTCTGGAACCTATGTAATTTTTGTTTGCAATGCACTTGTTGAATACATGTTTTGAAGTTGGAAGTTTTTCTACATTTGGTTCCTTGATCACTAATTGAATGCATGCTAGAGCTAGGGGAGATCTGGAAAGATAAACTTGGTTTGGATAGATGTCAGCTTCAACTTATGACTTGAAGGTAACAGTCCAAGGTTCTAATTGAGATAGAAATATACTTGGTTAGCATAAGCATTCATGTAAGGCTTGAAAACTTAATGACTTCATGACTTGATTAATCATTGGAAAATAGTTTAATTGAGTTCATAAAGATACCTCTAGGTAAAATCGGAAGTGACTTAGAGATATATAAGTGCCTGAATAAGCATGAATTCATACAAAAGAGTGCAAGATTACCACTTGATTACATAGGGAAAAGAGAATGAATATCTCAGTTTGTTGAGTCAGACCCTGAATCAGAATTCTCACTCCCGTGAGTGAGGTTTCAATTGTCTGTTTGTCTTCAGTTCTGCAGAGTCCATTCGCGTGAGTGACTTTGTCGCTCGGGCAAGTGAGTCTGTAATTTTCTTCCTTGTTTGTCCAACTCTTATATTCTTGTTTGTTTTCTGGTTATTTGAAGTTTAACCCGTCCCTGTGGGATCGACCCGACTTATTCTATTTATAGTTTAAGTTGGTAATTTATTTTGGGGGGCTTCGACAACCCACCAAAAGTGGCGCCGTTGCCGGGGACGGTGATCAACTTCTTTTAACCCTTTTGTGATTCTTTTATTTTTCTTTCTTCTAAGTTCTTGAGACATCTTATGTATTTCATATCCCTCAGTAGCTTGTTAATTCTGAAATTTTGTGTGCTTAATGCGTACTTGCTAGACTTTAGTCTGGGGTAAACTTCTAATATATTTATGAACATTGATGCCATATCTAGCAAGTTCTGTTATAATTTTTAGAATTAGCATGTTTGAGTCTATATGAGTCACCTAGTTCTTTCTGAGTTACGATTTTAAAAGCTGAATCAGTTTATGGAACTATGGTGATTCCGTTTGTTGCTTTCTGGTCTATGTGCTTAACCGTATGAACCAAGGAACTTCATGAGCTTAATCCCGATAGCTTTAGTCTGTGTTTCAATTCTAATCCTTGGTATTTGAGAAAAAAATTTGAAGCTAAAGAAGGACTGCAGAGTCACTCCCACGAGTGACCAAAGTCACTCCAGCGAGTGACACTGCAGAAAAAAATAAAAATTCTGAACTCTTCCATATAGGTACTGAATCTTTGTTGTGTTCTGATGTTGCAATTCTAGGCTGTTATACAAGGACGTCGTGGTCTCTTGTATGGAGTATATTTCAACACAACCTAGAGCTTATAACAAATCAAACACATATGTTGAATGATGTGCACTATGAAGCCCTCCTCATCCATTTCAATTGCTCCAACTCAGGGAAGTCACCAGTCTTCTACTTCACTCACAGGAATGAGAATATCACTCCTGCGAGTCACTACACAGTTTTTGTTGTGAACTGTTTCTGTTTCTGTGAACTGTTTTATTGATTCTGTTTTTGTGTGATCTGTTTGTTACGTATTGGAGACAATGCTTTGAATAAGTTTGCGGGAGTAGTAGGGAATATTTTTATAAATTTATTTTAATTTTTTTTTTAATTTTTTTTTTGGATTTAATTTTAGTAATAATGATGCTAGTTCTATGATAATTGGATATCCATGAAGACCAATGTATTTAATTTCTTATATCTAATTCAAATTTTGATTTTACCTAAATCTTTGTTATCATTTCTAAACTACTTAAACACACATGCCTTTTATGCTTAGTTATATTGAAATTGAGTTTTATAGCATGCTCTATGGTGTTCTAAATTGGTTAAAAATGTTTAAATGACTTTTTTTTACTACCACTTGAATGCGAAATGTGGTTTGTTTACATGCTAAAGAGTTTACTAAGGCAAGCTTAAATGACCTTCTCTAATACCTTCTTTGGGAATTGGTAGGCGGAATGCTCAAAAATGAGTAAACAAAAAAAAGTTCAAAAGAACTTGAGGGAGTATAAGGTAGAGCATCAATGCTAAATCCCTAAGAGTGAAATGGCAACAATGAGTGATCCTTTGGCCTGGAAAGCAAAGTCTCCTATCGGAAGCTCTCGGTAAGAGGGGTCGGAAGTTGGAAAGAAAAAAGAATCATAAGTCATAAATAGAAAAAGCCAAAAGACTCGGAGATAAATAAAAGGGAATGAGGGAGAATAGTTGAAAAGAAATGAATTGTGAGAGTCCTTATATCTCCGAGGTTGTATTGGCCACATTAGCATGATTGTGGTAAAAAAGAATGAGTCATAGGGCTAAGAAATATCTAAATATGCACCATGAGCTGTTATTTACCTTATACTAATTTGTTACTTTGCATACTTGGCATGATTCACACACACACGGAGGTGATTTCATAAAGACTAGGTGAAATTCGAATTTGGATGAAGATATACTTGTTTTTCTTGAGTCTGAGATGTTGTATCCGATTGTCATATGAACTAGTTATGTTTGATAGTTGCTATGAAGTTCTTGTGTGTTTGTTGCAGTGTCACTTACCTGAGTGACTTTTGTCACTTAGGGGAGTTAGTAGTGCCACTTGCTTGAGTGATATTTTCACTCAGGGGAGTCAGTGGTTAGTTATTGTTTTCTTGTTTCTATGTGTAGTTCTTAAGGGGTTAGATTGTTTTGCTTGAGGACAAGCAATTCTTCCAGTTTAGGGGAGTTGAAAACGGTTAATTTGTTACATAAAAGCATGGTAATTTACCTTTAATTAGTAAGAAATTAGGGGTGTTTCTCAGAATTAGTTCATTTTACTTAACTAGTTTTGTATTTTTAATTAGGCAAGGACCTGAGTGAACATTTGCTGAAAAAGGGGGTTTATGGAACAAAAATTGGGCTGCTGGATTCAAATTTGCTGAGCTGGTCAAAAGTAACTTCAAGACACAAAGCACATTGGCAGTAAATAAGGGTGTCCCACCATAGAAACCCAAGAGCATGTTTGTCCCCTTGGCTGAAGAACCAACCACCCACATTGATCAATACTGCTGCTGATACAACTACTGGAAGAAGGGGAAAAGGCCAGTCAAAACCGGATTCAAGACACAAGGCATTGGGGCTAATAAAAAAATACACAAGTATGGTGAGACTCTCTTGGAAGAAGAACCGGCAACAAACTCTATAAAAGGAGCTGCATTCCCAACATAAAGAACACATATCAGAGGACAAAAAACACACATACAATACACCAACACTACACAGACTCGAAGAAGAGAGGAAGGAAGTCCAAGAAGAGGAAGCCCAGTAGCAGCAAGGAGGGATAACAGGCCTCACTCGCCTGAGTGACTTCTTTCACTCAGGCGAGTTACCTGTTGTCCAACGTTCAGATTTGCTTCTTCTCGCTTCTTTCTTTTCTTTCTTATATTTTCTGTAGTTTGTATGTGTAGTTAGTCAGATTTCATTTGTAATTTGAGTTTGTAATGCATTTGTTGAATACATGTTTTGAAGTTGGAAGTTTTTCTAATTTTGGTTACTTCATCACTAATTGAATGCATGCTAGAACTAGAGGAGATCTGGAAAGATAAACTTGGTTTGGATAGATTTCAGCTTCAACTTATGACTTAGAGGTAACAATCCAAGGTTCTAATTGAGATAGGAATATACTTGGTTAGCATAAGAATTCATGTAAGGCTTAACAACTTAATGACTTAATTAATCATTGGAAAATATCTCAGTTTGTTGAGTCAGTCCCCTGAGTCAGAATTCTCACTCCCGTGAGTGAGGTTTCAGTTGTCTGTTTGTCTTCAGTTCTGCAGAGTCCATTCACTCAGGCAAGTGAGTCTGTAATTTTCTTCCTTGTTTATCCAACTCTTATATTCTTATTTGTTTTCCGGTTATTTGAAATTTAACCCGTCCCGATGGGATCGACCCGACTTATCCTATCTACAGTTTAAGTTGGTAATTTATTTTGGGGGCTTCGACAACCCACCAGTTACATTGGTTCAACTAAATTCCACACTACGGTAGGTACTTTAATTGAAATTAGGTTGTACTTTGAACTTCAAATCAGTTTACAAACTCACTAATAATGTGGTTCAAACATTAATATCAACTCTTCTATGAACTCCAAATTTCAAATTCATAATACAAGTTTGGGTCTTCCAACAGGCAAAATAATACATGAAACTTTCCTTCTTTCTACCACTGAAAACCTGAAATCAACAGACCTAACTCCTAAGGCTATTATCGTTGCAAATACGCTACAAGTGTTTCAGAAGAAGTATGAAGCCCATGCTAACCATAAATGAATTCAAAAGTTTCTAAACGTATATATTCAAATTTTCTAACTGTAGGTTCCTCTCTGTAAAGAGATCCACCATCTAAACCACATTAAGAACCGTGGAACGTCATACTCCTCAAAAACTTGTAAGCATGGATTCTTTTTGATCTGCATATGATGAAAGGAAAAAAAATTGAGAGCGTGGTAAAGAAAATCCTGTCACAATTAGGCTTCATTACTACTAAGTTTCACAACATACCATATTTGAATTTCATAAGTTAGTGAAACTGACTCTACGGGTTCTTTTGGCTTTGTAATATGTTCTTTGATCAACATATAGTGTTTTTCCTTAGAAAAAAAAAATTCATTCCATGCTTCAAAAGTATTTAATGGTGGTTGCACATGCAAAATCCATGCATAACAAATCAGATTGAGGGGCAAGGGTGTGTCAAAAGTAATAATAGATGTTGGTAAAAAATGGTATGTATCCTTTCAATACCATTGTGGACACGTCACGTACCTCACTGTAACAGCATACACATGTTTCAAAATTTATTTATGTATCAGAATGTCCTCGTTTGGCCCTGCGACGAGTGTGACTGGAATGAGAACTACGGACATGTTTCTTAGGTTTCCTCCGGCATGAACAAAGGAAAGAGAAAAAAAAAGCCAGCTTGTGATAATATATCATCTTATCAATGAAGGCCACATTTAAGTCTTCTTTCTAGGGTGAGCACGTGGAAAGAAAGCGGGGCTATGATTGCCTGATTAAAGTGATAGAAGATTTGCCGCATTCCAATTTATTATATTATAATGAGTCAACTCACCTGAAAATTGAAGAAATCACATTCAATACAAAGATGAAAGGCAAAGCCACCAAAGTAGAGGCCTATAAAAACCAAAACAAAACAAAAGGGGGACACAAGCCATGAATAGAGATGTGAAAAACAAAATTCTCAAAATACAAGAAAGCAGATACCACCACATGCCGTGTAAAAAGTGAATTCCTTAGTAGCAAGAGGTCTTGTGATCTCGTGATCATTTAGCAAGTCAAGCAAGGGTTCTTAGAGCTTCAACCAAACAATCAAATCAGTAATCTTTAAAATGTTTCGAGTCATGTAACATTATTACAATACAACACAAGGTCCCAGAAAGCAAGTCAAAAGTCAAAAACATTCAAATGGTCACGACCTATCCAAAGAAGGTTTAGGTATTCCAAAAAGTGGCACCCCTTTTCCCCAGTGTTTGGTCTGGAACTTTTTACTTCTATTCACAGGTCATAGATGGCTTTCTAAAACTCTACAGTTGATTTCAATACTTTTTATGACATCTTTTCACCAACACTTGGGATAAAGGGTACTTTGAGATCCAAAAGTTTCCAGTTCAACAAGTCCTTGTTTCCTTCAGTTACAACATAAAGGCATTTAGCCTATGTTTTGAAAACCGGACTGAACTAAAGGTGTTCCAGGACCTGAAAGTCTACCGGTCCAGTTTTTTACTTATAAACCCACAAGTAAAAAGTCGGGCAAACTTGGCCAAACCAGGTTCAACCAAGATTTGACCCAGCTCAGTGGGTTAATTCTAATGGTACTTGAAAACTTCTATAAATCATGAATATACCCAAAATCTTTCAGTCTATTATCAGTGTTCTAGTGATTCATTTAATCTCATCCTGGACAATGGCCTAGCTATTGAGAATATTCTCACTTCCATTTCATGAATCATTATTGAGCATACATTAGCTAATAATTACGAAAATACCTTACTCTATGGGGTCGGTACTTTTATGCATAAAAGTTGTGACATGAAGGGGTACAGTTCATGCACATGGATCAATCTAGTTTTTAACTGACCTTATTATTTCAACCTCTTTATAAAAAGAAACTTTTAAATTTCAGATTAGAAATATGAAGATAAAAACCTTCTCTATCTACAATAAGATGAAACCCTAAAAGAGACATATTACATTGAAAAACTTATGGACTCTTCATGCATTTGGGGGAAAAATCTATTAGCGGACACATTGGACCAAAAAACCTACCCGACCACACCAAATCCCAGTTTATGTGTCATTTTCGTAATAGTAAGATATGGAATAATACAGGACTCAAAAGGGTCAAAAGCCCACATCATGCAGTTCTTTCCTCAAGTCAAGAGATGATACAGAAAAGAAAAGAAAATGTTAATGCCAAAAAGAAAGGAGATAAGATATCTTTTGATGGTACATACCCATGACTCTTATAAATTTTCTATAAGAACGAACTACTTTCTTAGTATAAGGCTTCAGAAGAACATGGGTTTTGTCAACATGAGATTTCATCTGCGATGAAACTTGATCGATGTATGGCTTTGCCAACTTCTTAGCTTCCTAAAACGGTAACACCAATGGAAGTTATTACCTAAACAAAGAAGGAAAGAGCTGTCCTCTAGTGGAAAGAACTAAAATCATCAAATTTTCAAACCTGATAGTGTGGATCCAAAACCTCCAGTGATCTTACGACGTGAGGTTCCAGTGCCGTTTTTGATGCATGATATACATCAATGGCATTAGAAGTAAGTGATTGCAAATGTAGACGGAAGTCATTTGCAAATGCCAAGCAATGTTTTTTCATCATTGGGAACCATTTCTACACCAAAACAAAAAATTGAAAACTTGTCAGAAAAAGTGGAAAACCCGAGCCTAGAAGATAAAACTAAAACAAATCTTTCAGACATCTATTGTTAGCAATGAAAGAGACATGGTTATAAACCTAAAAATCCCATTCCCTAGTGGATGCCACATTTCTAACATATGGGAAACAACCAAGTTATCCATCATTAACCTAGAAGGCCTCAAAGAATCATAATCCAGCTTATGCTTACATAAGTAAGCATGCCTTTTAAATAGATTTGGACACTGTATATAAAATTTATAGTCCAGATCAGCTCCAACTTATATACAATATTCCCTAGAAAAAACAGCTTTGACAAGCCCAAAACTAACTTATTTATCTTTCACCTTCCATAAATGAATTGCTGCAAATTAGGTCTAACACCCTCTATTCTATTATATATTTTCTAATACCTTAAAATTTAATCTCAATTGTTAGGTGTCAAATCATAATTATTTAAGCGCGTCAAAATTTTCGGGATATCACATTTGGATCAACGATTCTTTCCATATCTTAGAATAAAATAGATAGAGTAGTAGATTAAACTCTAGATAGAGATATCATGGAATTTTAGTTGATCTTTTTTTTAAGGTAACATTTAGTTGATCTTTTTAAGGTAATTTCTCAAATAATTTATAGAGATGGCATGGGATTATTAAATAATTTTTGTGAGACAATCCCTTAGTCAATAGATTTCCTAAAATACATAACTGTCACGGGATTATTAGATAAATCTTTGTAAGGCAGTTTTTATTTTAGGATTGCACTAGAGTCGTCATGGAATTCTTAGAAAAATCTTTGTAAGACGTTTCTTCTTTTGGTAAGTTTCAAACACTGTCCATGTATCTTTCTTTTTTTAATTAATAAAATCAGGAAGATGCCCGCCTGGTTTCGTCCTGGAATATTTTTTTTTTCAAAATAGTATTATAAATTTAAATGAATAAATAAAGTGATTTGGCAAGATGACTTGTATATTTTTTGATACATGAAATCTTACATGTCCAGTGCCAAATTCCAAAATGATGTATGATAGATTAGGGTTTATGTTGGTTGGTCGTTTGGATGTTTTAGGTGTTGATTTTGAGGTTAGAGATGAGAAATCATAGTTATTCATGAGATATGAAAGTTGATTTATAAGTATTTTAGTATTTTATAGGTTTTTTGAATTATGAATGGAGTATGTATGGTGTATTTGTTGATTTTGTTATTAAGAAATGATTAGATATTGATGTTTTTTTTAAACAGTTATCAATGGCACGTGTGTATCATACATGCTTAATTTGTTTCATATAAGCAAGTATGTGATAGAGAATGGTAGAATCAACACTTTTTCGAATATGCCGGATGATAGTTTGTTTGTTGAAGAAAGGTTGTCATATGAGGGATTGATTAGTAAGATTTATATGACACTTGATTGGGATCCAGCACACATGAAACTCCACCTTTCTTTGATTTTCGATAGTCCCGGTGGTAGGCGTGTAGTGAAGATCAAGAATGATTCGCATGTAGAGTTCATGAACCGTGTAGATCCAATGTCATGTTTGGATTTATACATAGATTTGGAAGATATCACTCACGAAGAAAGAGAAGCGAGTTTGGAAAACGTGTCATTTGGTGGTTTTCCAAGGGGGGAACGTACTAGTACTTTTTGAAACCGTGTTTATGCAAAGGAGACACATTTATTTGCACAAGATGACTACCGGAAAGAGTCAGATCCCGACTACATAGCTCTAAGTGAAAGCGAAGAAGATTGTGATGTCTCTGGAGAGAGTGATTTTGAAGAAAGTGATGATGAAAGGTTGGAAAATGAGGAAAGGGATTGTAGTCCATTGCCCCGACGCCATGTATATAGTAAGATGGGGAAATGGGATGCGTCATGTGTGGACAAGGATGAGTTTGCTCTTAAGATGTAGGATGAGACACCCGAAGGAATGGACATTGGTGTTTGTTTCAAATCTCAATCAGAAGCAAAGCATGCTATGAAATTATGGAACATCCATCATAAAAGGGAATATACGGTCGCCGCGAGTAGTGCAACGACGTGGGCTGTGCGGTGCAGAACAATAAATGTGGAAAGTGAGGATGGTGAACCACCATATGAGCGTAAGATGCGTGTGTCTTTGAAAGCTCACGGCCTTCATGAAATTGTGAGATGGCATGACGCACATAATTGCATGGCTCCCGTGAATAATAATGACAATCAGTGTGTGGACGCGTCTTTGATTGCTAGACTCATCAGGAGAAAGGTTGAGGACAACGTAAATTATACGGTAGCCTTGGTACAGAAAGATGTGAAGACCTTATTGAAAGTAGATGTGCCATACAAAAGGGCGTGGCACGGGAGGAGGAAAGCCATAGAAGCGGTCTATGGTGATTGGACCTCGATTTTCGAAGAACTTCCACGGTAAATATCAACTTTTATCCGTGTATTGAAATATTTTTAGTGTTTTTTTTTACATGTATTGAAATATTTTAACTATGACTTGTTTGTTGTGTAGGTATATCACTGCGCTTAAGTTTACTAATCCTGAGACTGTAGTAGAGTGGGAATGGAAGGAGGGACAAGAAGGTTGGAACAGGCGAAATAGGACATTTAAATACGTCTTCTGGTCATTTGCACCAGTGGCTGCGACGTTTCTTGAATGTCCACCAATCATTTGTATCGATGGAACCTTCTTGCGTGGTGGATACAAGGGTAAATTGCTTGTTGCGGTGGTCTATATCGCAAACAAGCACATTTTACCGATTGCATTTGCGATTGTGGATGAGGAGACAGTAGAGAGTTGGACATTTTTTTATGAGGAATTTGAGGTTGTGGGTTGTGCATGATAGAATCATAAGTGTGATATCATACCGGAATGCAGGGTTGTTGAGCGCAATGCCACAGATGGATGAAAGGTGTGATTTAGGTGATGGTGGCCACTTTCTTTGCCTCCGCCACGTTCGCAGCAATCTTGTGTCACAATATAATAGCAAAAAGGTGAAGCGGTTATGTTGGAAGATAGGCAAGACACTTTCAAGAGTGAAATACAACTGTATGAGGGCAGAGCTTATTGAATTCAAACCTGCTGCATGGGAGTATCTCGAGGGATTGGAGGGAGTAATTGGGCTCGATTGAAAGCCGGTCTCCGCCGTTGGGGCATAGCGACAACCAACATTTCTGAGAGTTACAACAATGCGTTAAAAGGGATCCGATTTTTACCAATTAGAGCCTTGATCGATGCAACCTTTCGCAAAACTATGAAATTCTATAGAGAAAAATAATTGTCTGCGAGAAATTGCATGACACCGATCCCTCCTGAGTTATGGAAAAAAATACGAGAAAATGAACGACAAAGCAGCCAATTTTGAAGCCACCCCTTTTGATGGTGATGATGCTATGTGGCGGGTTGTTACTACAACACGACTAAGTGGCAGGGGTGGGTCTTTGCATACGGTGAACTACGATAAACATAGGTGTTCCTGCAGGAAGTGGCAAGAGTACCAGATGCCTTGTACGCACGCACTCCAAGTTTGCCGGAGAAAAGGGGATTGGCCTATTGATCTATACCATAGTGTTTAGTGCCTTCCAACGTGGCGCAGACAATTTGATTACACGGGCTTTGTTCCGGTTCCCGATGAGGAACAATAGCCGACGGTCAATTGGAACATCATTCTGAATTATGAGCGTCTTGTGTTGCATGCGGGACCGGGACGAAGACAAAAAAGGAGACTTAGAATGCAAATGGATTACAGGGGACGCCAGAGCCGGGGGGAATGTTGGAGATGTGGACAACAAGGTCATGATGCCAATTCTTGTCCTAACTCGCACCCAGGAGTAGATAGAAGACCTGTGAATGACAGTTGGAATTGAGAGTCATTTAGTGGTCTTGCAAGTTATTTGGAATGACAACTATTTAAATAGACGTGGACAAATTTATGTTTTGATAAATTCGGATTGTAATGTTAACATTAAATTGTTGGTGCTGGTGCTATGATTGTGATAGAATATATACTAGTTGTTCATAACAGGTTTTGGGATTGTGCAAAAAACTCATTATAAGGTTTTGTAAAGGATTCGGATTGCCGAAATCTGAAAGTACGCATTTTTTATTACGTCCGGATTTCAAAAATTCAGAACCGGACCGATTTCCTGCAACAAAGCATTCGGATTTCCTAAATCCGTGTTTATGCAATTTGTACTACGTTCGGATTTCAGAAATCCGAGTGTGACGGGACCATATATAGCCTGCCAACTCTTCCTCCTCCCATTTTCTCCCCAAATCCCGGTTTAAATAAACCCTAAAACTCAGATTTTCGATTCCAGAAATTCAGTGATTCCCTCCACTCCTTCCGGCGACTCCCTCCACTCCTCCCGGCGACTCCCTCCACTTTTCCCGACGACCCTCCACAGAAATCCGGCGTCTCCCTCCACTTTTCCCGGCGACCCTCCGCTCCTCCCGGCGACCCCCTGCCTGTGTTTCCCGGCGACCCTCCACTCCTTCCGGCGACTCCCTCCACTCCTCCCGACGACTCCCTCGGACTCTCCACTCCGGCGACTCCCTCCTCTCCCGGCGACTGTGTGAAATTCCCGGTAAGTTTTTTTCTCGTTAGTTTTTTTTTCAAAAATCCGAATGTAGTGAAATTGAAAAACAATGACTTAGTTTGGTGTTAGTTCTGTGATTTTGAATTGCCAATTCAGGAATCGTTTGAATTTAGGTGGCAAATTTTGAATTTTTGATGTAGTTGATAATATAGTCGGTTATAGTCGGTTAGTTGTGTGTTAGTTTGATGTGTGTGATCAATTGTTTAGTTTGGTGATTTTGAATTGCCAATTCGGGAATCGTTTGAATTTGGTGGGCAAATTTTGAATTTTTGGTGTAGTTGATAATATATTCGGTTATAGTCGGTTAGTTGTGTGTTAGTTTGATGTGTGTGATCAATTGGTTTGATATTGTATATTGTGTGTTAGTTGTGTGTTAGTTGATCAATGTATGTACATAACTATATATTGTTAGTTAGTTTGGTGTTAGTTGATCAATGTATTTCATAATTATATATTGTTAGTTGTATTGGTGTTAGTTGTCTTGATATTGTGTATTAATTTAGTTTGTGTTGAATTTGGCCAAGAAATGAGTTAGGGCATTGATGTTTTCTTTGGTTACCTTGTGTAGGATTGAAATGGCGGAGGAGGCATCGGGCTCGCAATATGAATATCAACCTAAACATCTTCACCCGGGACCGATACAAGATAAAATGCTATATCGTCAAACAAAGCATAGGTCCCAAGCTGTCTATGAGAACAAGATACCGGACATTAAAACATTCCGCCTCAAGGGCCGTAGATACGACAGTGATTTTTGGGGGATATACAAAAATACGGCACCGGAGGTTAAGGAAGTCAAAGAGAGCCGGTTTTGAGGGGATCATGAAAGTAGGCTACAAAAGAGTGGATCTCGGTCTCATTACCGCATTGGAACGGTGGAAGCCAGAAACCCTCACTTTCCATTTCAATTTCGGAGAGGCGACTGTGACACTACAGAATGTCGAGGTCATGTTTGGTATTCGGGTGGATGGTGACTCGGTGTATGGGACGACAGTTAGGCGGAGGGCAGATGAATGGCGGGATCGATGTGAGACTTATTTGGGATTCCGGCCAGCCCAAGTAAATGGTCAATGTGTCAATGTTGGTATTTTCGAGGATGAGATGGGCCGTGCACTCCCTGAGAATTCCACAGTCCAGCGATTCGAGCAAATGGCCTGGACATTTATACTGCATTTTATTAGCAGTTTCATGTTTCCTAACAAGACGCAAGACACTGTCAATCTCCAGTTCTTGGCCCAAGTTGAGGATTTGGATCAGTGTAGTCGATACAGTTGGGGATCGGCACTACTTGCTGGTTTGTACTATGGACTGTGCGAGGCATCATAGTATACCTTGCACGACGCCACTGGGTGTCTATATTTGCTACAGGTACGTATTAGTTTTCAATTGGTGTTATAATTATTTTTTGCTTTCGACGTTATAATTTGAAGTTTTAACATTATTATTGAAATTTACTAGGTATGGGCGTATGAGCGGATCGAGAGAGTCGCGTCACGAAGAAAAGGAGTAGATTATTTGATTGATGAGACCGCTCCATTAGCTCAGCTGTACGTATTTTCAGTTCAAAATAACTCAATGTTTATTTCTATTTGTTTCTTATTCATTTTTTTTACTAATTCAAATGTACCCCTTTGTTCATTAAGGTGGGAATGTAGGTACACCTACGGAGACGCCCCAAGGAGCAGCACCCCACCTTTTAGAGATCAATTAACAAGCCTGCTTGTTGAAGATGTAAGTACTTAATTTGGCATTTATATTTACTTTTATACCATCTAAATAAATTCTTTTCGTGTAGTTTCGGTGGCAACCATATGCAAAGGTCCTTGATAGACTCCCTGATTTCTGTAAACAAGGCCAAGCCATTTGGATGACCAGGTGTTGGATGTTCTGTTGGGCTATTAGGGAACCCCACGAGTCGGACTGAGTTGTGAGACAATTTGGATACATACAGGATGTTCCCAAGCGCCATATGATTAAAGATAACGCAGCATTTCTTCTCGATCACGCTCACAGTATGTCTGAGTATCCTAGCAATAATTGGGTGGATCACCATTCCGCATTACGTCATCATTGGAATAGGAGAGAAGAGTACGTGCTACGAGATTTGGAGGAAGGAGACCCTGGCTCTGTATATGAGGGGTACTATAAATAGTTCATGGTGAACACTGTCAGACTGATATCCAATCCCAGAAATTATGAACCTCACGGATACGAGACTTCTTTGAGCGGAGTGGAATTATATGTGAGTTCATTCTATTTTTTTTTTTATTTCTTATGTTTTCCCTTCATTTTTTTAGTTTTATTTTTTTTGAATTCTACTCTCTTAATTAACGTCCCAATTTCTTTTCAAGGTGAAGTATTGAACAACATTCGCGTGAGTTCCGAGAAGTTTAGAGAAAAACGAGAAGATGAGAATCTCCTAGACGAAGAACTCGACAAGCATTTGGACGATATCATCAATCAAACACATGCTGCTTTTTTTAACCTTGGGTGCAAATGATGAGATGGACGTGGAGGATACCCAAATCCTGGTTGATGAAGATCCATCTTTGCCCTCACAACCTCCGCCGAGTAAAAAAACGAAACCGTGATCGAGAGATAAGATTGGAGGAGGAAGAAGGAGAAAGGTCCCAATCCCCCTCGGACATCGCAACAACAAACTGAGGGTCAACAAAATGAGGATCAAACACATTCTTCTCGAAGCTTGCGCATCCAGGTCGAGACTCAATTTGAAGAAGTTGGTGGACCCGAGACTCAGTTTGACCTTGGTGGACCCGAAACTCAGTTTGACCTTGGTGGACCCAAGACTCAGTATGGTGGATAGTCGCAACCACAACCGGGAGTCAAATTTCTCACCATGGGGGAGTCCCAATCCCAACCCCAACCCGAGCCTCAGTTTGGTGGACAGTCGCAACCACAACAGAGTTCAATACTTACGTATCTTAAGAAGGGAGACAGGATCCGGTAGGGCCCAAATAAATACACTCCTCCTGCGCATAATAAAGGAAAAGGGAAAAAAATGAGATCTTTGATATATTTTGCACATTTAAAGTAGTTTTTGTATTGATTTTAGTTTGAAACTTGATTTGTTTTGTTGTTAATCGAATGCCGTTTATTTTTTTGTTGCCATTAAATTTCTGTTTTCCAATAGTTCATTGTTGTCAGTGCTGTAAACAGGTTTTGGACTGGTTAAAACAAGTCCAATTTTTTTTTCCAGTTCTGACATAGACTCGGATTTCCGAAATCTGAACCCAGACTTTTTGTAAAGGACTCGGATTTCGCAAATTCGACTATGTAGCCAACTGGTAATTAGCATTTTGCAGAAAACAGAGGAGATTCGGATTACGGTAATCCGAATCTGATCCGGGTTTTTCTAATTCGGGATTTTTCAACACTTTTTTTTTTATCCGGAAATTAATATTGTATTCGTAAATACGGATTTGAAAAATCCGGATTTAGATTAATTACACTAATTTCTGTCATTAACTTAATATCGGATTTACGTAACACAAATTCAGATTTTTCTCATCCGAGTTTAGAGGGGTTCGGATTTCGAAAATTCGAGTTTATCCCCCATTCGGATTTCCGAAATCCGGGACATATAAGTTTGTCCACAAAATTTTTGAAAGATTTATTTTTTGTCCAGTTATATATGAGGAAATATACTTCAGGAAAAACTCCCTCTTTTCCTCTTCGAAAAAACATGATGGATTGTAAGAGATGTTTCTTCTTGATTTTCAATTTTGATTTCATATGAAATTGTAGTCATTTGAACTCCATGATATAAATTTCTCCAACAATTTCCTGAGGTGAAAAGTTAGTCCGTCGGTTAGTCCGGCTCTTGAGAGTTTTAAACATGTCAATAATCTTCTTCTTTTCAAGTTGAGTTGAAACCATCTTAACCTTGCCATTTGACACTGCACTTCCAATTTTCTTTTAAGGTCCTACATTCATCATACAAACTTATGTTTTTTCCTTGTTTTTTTTTTTGTGTTTTTTCGTTTATTGAATTACTACAAACAAGTTTTCTTCTTCATGGTCCCCGAAACGTTCTCTTGGGTTTTTGTTTTTCTTCTTAGCGGTACTTAATTTCTTCCTCGTTAGACATTGTGACCATCAATTCTTCCTCTTTAGAGATTATGACTGAAACTCCTCATAAAATTCATTTTCCATCTCTCACTCCTGTCCATGTAAAATCCTTTCTTTTTTGGTGCACTGGATACTGATTTTTATATAACATTTTTCAGTTTTAAAATTTCTTTTTTTGTCCCCTTGTTCGGTGTCCCTTGGCTCAACTTTGGAGAAGTAAATGTCTAAAGATTTGGAGAAGTAAATATTTACTCCATGTTCTACTGTTCAAGATTGATATTGAAGTTCTTACGATTCAATCATTGTCATTTCAAAAAGTAATAAATAAATAAAAATCACTATAAAAAAGTTCAAACATTTCAATTTTCAACTTCAGATTTCATATTTTCACTGGTTTCTATCTTCCGATAAGGAAAGCGATGCAGAAACTGCTTTTGTGCTACAGCCAACCTAAAGCAACAATTGTGGGACAAATTACACTTCTTCAAAACAAAGACCCCCTTAGTACTGCCACGAAATGTGTCCACATGAAAGCCATGTCAGACCATAAAGTTGAATTTATACTTTAAAAGCTCTGACATATAGATTTCCAAACCTATATGTAATATGTTCTTCAATGAGAACAGGCATAAAAAAAACATCAGATACACTGTCTAAACAACAGGAAGAACCGTGGAAAACACTCTTCTAGTACACAAAAACATGGAATCCTTTCGACCTGCATAAGACGGAAAAACAAATTGAGGTACAACGAAGTTATTGTCTTGATCATGACCAAATTCATGTTAACAATTCAAACATGTTTCCCAAGAGGAATTCAAAGACGTTATCAAGAATCAACTCATCCCATGCATAGAAAGATAACTTGACGGTTCCCACACACAAAATCCATAACAAATTGGCTTAGAGGGCCAGGGTGCTGTCACAAATATCCTGGGGAAACATGAAATGTATACTTCCAATAAAAATTGATGGCTTTGTAACGTACCTAACACTAACAGCATAAACATAATTTACTATTGTTTTGATTCATCCTTCAGAATGTCCGCGACGGGCCTTGCGACGATTATGGCTCGAATGGGAACTACGAACACGTCTTTTAGGTTTAGTCCTGCAAAACAAAAGCCGGCCTCTATGAAAATATATTGTATAACAAAAGGTTAGTTTAGGAAAATATATTCATGTGTGTGTAGGGGCATACATACATGCGTGCGTAAGTGAGTGAGAGTGTGTGTGTGTCTGTATATGTGTGTGTGTGTGTGTGTGTGAGAGAGAGAGAGAGAGGGAGAGAGAGAGAGAGAGCCATTTTGCAAACAAAGGCATGGTACTCACAATTTGAGTCAAACTCACCTGAAGATTGAAGAAATCACATTTAACACAAAAAACAAAGGCAAAACCATGATCGCAGAGGCCTACCAAAATTCAACAAAAGGGAGAAACTTAGTGAATAGAGATATGTCAAAAGCAAAAACATGAAAATACTAAACAGCGCATAGCACGTACCATGTAAAAAGTGAATTCCTTAGTTGCAAGAGGCCTTGTGATCTCCCGACTTTGTAGCAGGTCAAGTAAGGTGGCTTGGAGCTTCATGAATCAAAGGATCAAGTCAGAAAGCTTTAAAATGTCTTGTTCAAATAGCATACATTTTAGTACTTCACAAACATCTCTGAAAGCAAGTCTTTCACTCCCCAATGTTTGTGCTATAGGCAAAACCAGGATCTTTAACCTGTATTTCCAGCTCAATTTCATCAATGTCTCTTACTGACACAGATAAAGCACAAATTGAGTTCCATAAGGTCAGTCCATCTATCCAGTCCTAGTTACCTCAAGTCCAGAAATAGGCATTTATCCAAAAGCCTTGTCGTGGTTGACAGCATAACTAGTGAAAAAGACACTATTTCTCAAATGTTATCAGAATGTTATAGTTCACCAAAGGTAAACAAATATTAAAAGCTTAACTTTTGAAATCTAGTAGGCACTGGACGTAGTAGCAAAACCAGATACCAGTTGGCACTGCAAGCAAATCTTAGAGTGAGAGATGAGGGTAACAATGGCTTTGATGGAGGCAGATGGAAAGTTAAGCCACGTGGTACCAACAGTATTTCAGAAATACAAATGGTTAAAAGGGGATTCAGACAAGACTCAAGAAGCTGCAGTAATCTGGTCTAGACCTCTGCGTGCATTATGCCAATTGAGCCCTGACAGCCACCAACATTTGTTTTTTAACTGTGGCTTAGCAGCTGAAATATTCTTAAAAATTCAAAGATGGTTAGGGGTTCACAATGTCTTAACTGACTGGAATTCTTGGAAAAAGTAGGTATGGTCAGTATAGAGGGGAACTAAGTTGAAGTACATACTATGGTGTTCTGCACTGGTTCCGGTCTTATACCATACATGTGAAGTAAGGAACAATCACATATTTTCCGGGAAAAAGCAAGTGCAGTGAGTTAATTGTGGATATAATCAAGAAGGAAAGGTATTGGAGATTTAATGGAAGCAGCAACAGAAAACAATTAAGGATTGAAAGCAAAATTTTGCAATCTTTATTTTCTCGGCTTTTGAGAGATTGTATAGATGGTAGAAAAGTGAACCTTCAGTTGTAAATATGTTTCGATTGATTATACATAAAGTTTAGAGAAAAAATATTTAGCAAAACCTCCTCCAAAATCCTGTACTCTTCACTAAAGCAAGGAATCAAAAGACTACCGACAGCCTCTAAAGGTATTGATTTCATTTCAAAAATTTAAGCTCTTCTTGTATTTAAATATTGAAATTGCGGTTGCAATACTCAATATCTTATAAATAAATTGAATCCCAAACTGAAATCACAAAACGAGTTTCTCCAATCATTCATGCCAACTCATGCCAGACCTTTTCTCAGCTTAACAGCATTTACCTTCAGCCACTATATCCATATTTAGCTATTGTTTCTCCCACATTCATTTCATGGATCATTCTTTGAGCATACTTCCTAATGCCCTTTCATTGATTTATTAGCCAATGGTCACAAATCATAAACTTCTCTTTCCCCTCTAGAGCTTTAGAGGGGAACTTTTACGCAAGGAAAGGTTCAGCGCACTTATGCACTAACCCTGTCATTAACTGACATCAGCATTCTCAATGTTTTCAAATTCCACAGAGGGGGCATATGAAGAAGATAAAAACATCTCTACCTACAATAAGATTAAACTCAAAAATGCTTCAGATACGACAATGAGGTACACATAGCCTCTTCCGCTATTTTAAAGGAAACTGTTAGTGGACAAAAAAGGTCCAAAGAGCCCACCCTCACCAAAATCCTTGTTTAAAGTTCCTCTAAATAGTAATATGATCTGAAACAATAGATTACAAAGGTTTGGGGAAATGGGTCTAGCATAGTGTTAAAGGCTCTTAGTGGATTTCTTAGAGATCCAAGGATCCAATTCCACCAGAGGTATGTAGGGAGGGATTTTACCACATTTATTAGCATTTTTTCCCCATTGATTGGCAGAGTCAAAAGCCCCAATAGAGCAGTTCATTTCTATGGTCAGAAAGACATAGCAAAGAAGCAATGAGAATGAACATATCAAAGGTTGAGAGAAAAAGGAAGGTGATAAGACACCTGTTGACGGTATATCCCCACAACTTTCATGAATTTTCTGGAGCTAAGAATGACTTTCTCCGTGTAAGGCTTCAGAAAAACACGGGCTTTGTCAACATGAGGTTTCATCTGAGTTGAAACTTGATCGACATATGGCTTTGCCAACTTCTTAGCTTCCTGAACACCCATGATTTTTTTATTATCTTACCAAAGAACCAAAATGCCCTCATGGAGATTGAAAGAATCAAATCCACAGATACCTGAATGTGAGGATCCAAAGACTCCATGGTTCTTACAACATGAGGTTCGAGTGTCTTTTTTGATGTGTGATATGCATCATTGGCTTTAGAAGCAAGTGATTGCAATTGTACCCCAAAATCATTCACAGCTGCCAAGCAACGTTCTTTCACAATTGGAAACCATTTCTGCACACATCAAAGGAATTACAAACTCCTAAAGGAAGAGGAAAATCCAAATCCTAGAAGTTAGGTCTAATGATCATCTTCAAAACATCCACTGCTAACAATGCAAAATACACAACTGAAACGTGCTTCAACCATCAATGGCCAAAATAATATCAGCCCATAGGCATTTGTACTCTCACTAATTTATTCGGCAAACTATAACAGCTTCGCCTACTCATTCATATAACAGCTTTAGGTTCAAAAGGTTCAACTGCTTTAAGTTTCAACCCAAACAACAAGATAGAAGACCTCTGGACAATGTGAAAAGTTATCATTTATTAGCAGCTTCATGCCAAACAATGTTCATTTATCGACTAATTTTCTGTAATTCTTTTTGCCTAAGATTCAACAATCTTCCTGGGCAAAAACTTTTCTGTTCAAACATTATCATTGAGTGAATTTGGTTTAATATAGTCTATGAGCTATGATGCAAATCACAACTGTAATAAAGGGAAAACAGGAGTGTCATCTGAATATTAACAGGAAGCCGCAAACTTGTCCTAATTATTAAACAATGTATACGACGAGCTATGTAGATAACGTACGGTTTTGAATGCATCGACATGAGGCTCCGCCCACTTCTCAAGCTCAAATTTTGTTTCCAAAACCTAAAGAATGACAAAAGTAAAAGTAAATAGAAAGAAGGTAACAAGAATTCCCCTCAAACGAACGGTGAGAGCCAAGCAAATCAATAAAATTGATACATGAAACAATATGACACCACCTTTTTAATAGTGAGATCCCAGTAAGGTCTTCCATGCTTATCCCAATGTGTCATGACAAACGACTGCATATCCAAAGCAACAAAGAATCAACAAAAGGGTCCAAGCGTGCATGTGCGGATAACTGAACCTATAGAACTTCACTAACCTTGCAACAATCGTAATGAAGCGAAAACCAAGTTGGAATCCACGCATTTTGAACCTACAAAACATTTGACTTACTTGGGGTCAATTGTCCACAAATTAAAATGTAAATTACCTTAAGAAAAAGGAGCAAAACCACAGGGAAGAATATGTTCATCAAGGAAATATGCAACAGGAATTTCAGTGACAAAGAAAGATTGCAAACCATCTAATTCAACTGCAACAGATGACTAAAGGAGTTATAGAGAAGCAAATTAGGGATGGGTCAGTTATCAGCTACTTAAATGAGTTAAAAGCTTAAAAATACTTGATGAACTTTTAACCACTCAACAGTAAATCTCGCAACTTTTGCTGTTTTTTATATTCAATATCATTAACTGAAAGCCCTTAAGCCTCACATATTGAGTGCTGGAACCATAACACGACCTCCTACACAATGCAAGCAAGAACAATAAAATAAAGCAAGCTCTTTATCTGCTCTTTTTGACACCCAAGCTCTAGCTGAGTTCACCTCCTAAAACAGCAGACCTTACATTTCAGACTTTCAAGTTTCACCACAAGGAGGCTACACTGAAGAATCATTAGTTTAGCCATCCATACAGAATATTTGTTCCATTAGAAAAAAAAATTAAGAAACTTTCCTCGAGAATAAGAAGAAAAAGCTCATTCTCAGTTACGGAGAGTCATGGCAAAGGTAACACCCTTCACACAAAAAAAACTGAGGACGCGTAACAAACTTCAAACATCTTTGAATTAAGAAACAAATTGAAGAACCCATGATAGGATGTCTAATTACCCCCACCCTTAAGTAACAAATTATTTACTCAAAAAAGACCAAACCAATTGCCAGGATTAATATTTCTCACACTTCCATTCTAAAATGGAATTGATCCCACTTATCAACATGTGTACTAAGCATTGCAACAATGGAAAATGATGCTCAAAGCCATAATAGGATCTCTGAGTACCCCCACCCTAATATAACAAAGTAATTACTCCAAAAGACCAAACCAATTGCCAGCATTAATACTTCTGCAATTTCCGTTCTAAAATGAAATTAATCCCACCTATGAACATATGTATTAAGCATGGCGACAGAAGGAGATGATGCTCAAACTTCAGTGCAAGAGGAATTCGTGAGTACTTAAGAAGTTGACAGAACCTAATTACCTCCATCAGCTGTTTAGCAAGAGAATCAGCCTCCGTTTTAGCTTTCATCAATTTTTCCTGCAGAAACCAACAGTTACCAATCTGACTATTTATGTAAGGCCAAACTAACATCATTGAAAAACCCAAAAAATAAGACACAAAAAGAAAGAAAATAAATAATGAGAAAACCTCAGCCACTTCAAGTGCTCGTTGAGTCTTACGAATCTGGGACTGCTGTTCATCATTTGACTGACGAAGCTGATAAATATAAAACACAACAAATCAGCAAGGACATATTCACCATAAACTCAGGGCCTAAAAGAAGTACCAAAAGACAACATCAAAAGCATTTTGCAATCCAAAAGGGTGAAACCTACATTTTCAAGTTTTAGGTTCAAATCTTGGACTTTCTTTTCTGCACTGATCGTCTTGGCTTCAAGTGCATCTTTGTTCTTGTTTAGAGCTTCTATCTCTTTCTTTAAACTGTTAAACTGCCACCAAAAAATAAAAATATATAAATAAATAATATACATCACAGGAAGACTCGCACAAGAATAAAATACTGAATGTCAACTAGCGAAAGACAAACCTGTTCTTGAAGTTTTGTTGCACGTCCATGAGCCTCATCCTCTTGGTTCTTAGCATTTGAAGATACTTTATCCTATTAAAGGCAATATCTTGATCACAAAAGAGACTCCTTAATGGCAAAGATGTAATATTCTACTCATTGTCGAACCATTCAAAACTGCTCACCTTAAGTAACAAGACTTCTCTCTGAAGTGAAGTTAGAATTTGCGATTTCTCCTCATTTATCTTATTTAGTTCCTCCAGTGCCTTCTCCTTGCTATGAAGTTCTTGAACTTTCTCATTCAAACTTGATTCTGTGTCACCAAAAACGGTACCAATGCAGCAGAACATTAAGGGGAGAAAAAAAAAGAACTAGTTAAAAATATATCATTGATCAATGTTGGAAAATTCTTTCAGTTAAAACTAAAACCAACTCAGGTTGGAAAGTAAGAAACAGACATTCTCAAAGGGCTCTGATATCCTTAACGCAATCCATGTGAAATGGACTACCTTTCCTAATTGTATATGAAAAAATGCACGAGGCAGAAATCTTTAGACACTAAATTAAACCATTTTATACATGCAACTCCTTTTCCCCCTTTTCTTCCACGCAAAATCACAAAACACATTAGATTTGGGCACATAATTAAACCGCCAACATCTCGAAAGATTAAGTTAGCTAATAAAACACGAACGGGAATAAAACAGTTAGAAAACAGAACAAATGGGGTAAATTAAACACTAGAACTGTAAAAGAAAGGCAAACAAAACAAACAGCAAAGTGTTTAATCATGTCAAGTTGTTCTTCACTTAAAGAGGCAAAAACAACCAACAAACACTAGCGTCCCCTAGACAGATTTCCGAATTTACATATCCAAAATTTGAAAAAAAAAAAAACAAAAACAAACAGAGGTTCATAAAGATCAAACTACACGAAATAAAAGTAAAAAAGAGAGGCAAGAAGAAGACCTAAAAGCGAAATCTTTGACTTGAGTTCGTCGAGTTCAACTTTGAGAGGAGAAGAAGCATCGGAAACTTTTTCCGCATCAGAAACTTCTTTTACCGATTCCGGCAACTGGGTCGGCGTACTTTCTCCAAAAATCAAGAACAAGAACAGGAATAACGCCACAATTTTCACCATCTTCATTGAAATTGAAGTGAAAGCCATGAAGGAGAGAGCAGAGAGAAGGAAAAATTTGTTGGCTTTCAGATTTTTTTCAGTTCAAGAAATTTTGCCGTTTAAATCATTATAGGGGAGTTCTCAGGCTTATTTTGATTATTCAAATAACGGAGGGACTTCGTGTATAATTATTTAACATTATAACCCTAAACAAGTAGACCCTAACCGATACGGAAATGCTTAAACATCCTTGAACCCTAAACCCTTAACAACTAGACCATAACCGATACGGAAATGGTTAAACCCATCTAAACCCTAAAACCCACTATTTTTTTTTTTGGTTTAAAATTTTTTAAACCAATTAGGCTATGGTCTCGTAAAATTTATAAGGTTAATTGTATTACAGTACAAACTAGACTCGATCGACACGGAAATGCTTAAACCTCCTAAAACCTAAAACCTAAACAACTAGACCCTAGACGACACAGAAATAGTTAAACCCCCTAAATCTTAACCAAACTAATTTATTTTTTTTGGTTTAAAAAATTTATAAGTTAATCGTGTTACGGCACAAACTAGGCCCTAACTGATAAGAAAATGCTTAAATCCCTATAAACCCTAAATCCTAAACAATTAGACCGCAACCGACAAGGAAATGCTTAAACCCCTCTAAACCTTAAATCCTAAACAACTAGACCGTAACCGACAAGGAAATGCTTAAATCCCATAAACCCTAAATCCTAAACTACTAGATTGTAACCGACAAGGAAATGCTTAAACTCTCTAAACTCTAAGCACACTAATATTTTTTCGATTTTTTATCTTTGGCTTTGGTCTTTACTCCTCACACACGCTCACTTTTAAATCCTAAACAACCAGACAGCAACCAACAAGAAAATGCTTAAACCCTTCTAAACCTTAAATCCTAAACAACTAGACCGTAACCGACAAGGAAATGCTTAAATCCCATAAACCCTAAACCCTAAACAACTAGACTGTAACTGACAAGGAAATGCTTAAACCCCTTTAAACCCTAATCACACTAATATTTTTTCGATTTTTTATCTTTGGCTTTGGTCTTTACTCCTCACACACGCTCACTTTTAATTCTGGTCTTTGGTGTTTAGTTTTTTAAAGTTTTTTTGGTCTTTGGTCTTTTGCTTTTGGTCTTTGGTCTTTGGTTTTTGGTCGTTGGCCTTCGGTCTTTGGTCTTTGGTCGTTGGTCTTTGGTCGTTGGCTTTCGGTCTTTGATCTTTGGTATTTTCTCTTTGGTTTTTGGTCTTTGGTCTTTGCTCCTCACACAATGCTCGCTCTTTCACTCTGGTCTTTGGTCTTCGGTTATTGCTCTTTGGTCTTCGGTTTCTTGGTCTTTGGTCTTTGGTCTTTAGTCATTTTTTCTCACTCACGCTCGCTCTTTAATTTGGTCTTTGATCTTTGTCCTTTGGTATTCAATTTTGGTCTTTGGCCTTTGGCCTTTGGTTTTTTCTGTAGGTCTTGGTCCTAAAAGACACAATAAAACCAGAATATTTTTTAGTAAGATCAAGACTACTTCATAAATTTTTTTAAGTTTCGAAAAATATATTCATGAGGGATTTTGTTGGATAGATCTCGTTGAATACTATTAAAATGATATAAGAAACTTGGTCTAATTATTTACGAATTAAGAAATAAAGTGATTTGAAAACTTAAGAAATTTTCAAAACCCAATTCCTAAAATTAAGAGGAAGGGGCGTGTGAGTTGCACCTAACTCATAAAGACTTGCATGTTTAGCCCTCTTTTCATATACTAATTGCTAAATAAGGGTCTATGTAGACTTAGCTAGATTCACTTAATGTGCATGGTATAATTTTTTATTATAGGGTGCTGCGTCGAGGGACACGTGCAGAACGATGACGACAAAAATATTATGAGAAAAAAATTACATGGTAAAATTTAAAAAGTTCTCTTCGTCTTTATAAAAAGCATCTAACACTGTGAAAGGACCATAAATTTGGTTGGAAATGTGGGAATTAGTCAAATCAAAGAAACAATAAATAAAATTAACTAGTTAGTCAATCATTTGGAAAATTATCAGTTTTTGCAATTATAAAAATTATTAACTTTATTATAACTTTTTTTGTGTAGACTAATACACTAACAAATTTGGTGAATGACAAACGATTGTAATAATTACTCCCTCTCCTTAAATAGTACTCTCTACCGCCCTAAATATAAAATATTTCGGGTTCTCTTAATTTTTGTTTAGTGTATCTCTTCAACTGAAAATGAATCCTTAAAACAATTTATAATAATTAAGAGAATATAATGAACATAAAAATTCAAATTTAAGGTTTTAATTCAATTAGAAAAAATGTATTAAATGAAATTCAGAAAAAAAAATATTTTATAATAAGAACCAAAGGAACCACATTGACTTTTAACATTTGTACTGGTTTTAGTACAAATTTTAAAATTTAATATGAACTATCTTCTTAGGAACAAAAGTTATACTAAAGAGCGCATATTAATTCGCGTGATCATAACATTTAGAAATTCAGTACTTCGAATCTCGTACTCTCATATATATGCGTGCGCGTGCGCGCACACACACACACATAAATATATACGTATATGTATATATGCAATGCACGTGTATTGTCATGCAATTTTTCCAGAAGAATTACTTATAAAAATCATAATTAAGAATGCTAACCGGAAAAAGGATAGAAAATGACGCACCAAAGAAATTCATGAGAAAATGAAGATTAACCAAACTTCTTGATCTAGTATCCCTTTCATAGTCTCATTAAGAAGAAAAACGAAAAAGGCCATTATTCACAAGATGGAAAATTTGTAAATAAAATATCATCATAAATAATTGGCTTGAAATTTAATGGCCTAGTTCATGTGCTCGGGAAGATATAACTTGAGGAGGGTTTTGGATAGTGTTGTTAAACTCGGCTCAGACCGGTCGGCCGAACTGATTTAATCGGGAACCGGACCTTAAGCCGAGCCGAGTAGGTCAGAAAATTGGCTATTTAACACTCGAACAAAACCGGTCAAGATTCTGGTTAAATCGAAAATCGGTCAAACCCAGGTCAACCAGGATTTGACTTTCATCCCACTTTTTAAAATTTTTTAAAATTTTTTTGCACTACTTTTGAGGTATATTTAGTATGAACTTTTCACTTTTAACCCTCAATTAGATTTTTTATATTTCTAATGATCCATGACTTTTATATTTATGTTATTTAAACCCATTATTCAAATGTTTTAAGCCTAAATTTTTTTAATTTAGTCATTCATCTTACATTTCAAATGTCACATTGAGTAATAACCAGTATTTGAACTAAAGTAAAATATTATAAATCAAATAAATCAAGCAATATTCATTACTTAAAAATAAAGTAAAAAAAAAAATTACAACCAAATACATTGATTAAACATGTAATGTAATTTTCTTTATGATAAAATTCAATTATGTAGAAAATTTGTTAATTTTTAATTATAATCAAAGTTAATTTAAACTATTAGTCTAGTTAATGTCATAATTTTGCTATATAAAAACCTTATTTGAAGTTACAAAACACTATTTTGACTTTAACAATTAACAAATGTATATAGAATCCATAAAATTTTATTAAAAATATATATTTATTAATTTTTTATATCTATTACGTCATTATGATGTCAACCAAGTCGATCCCCCAAATCGTCCCGAGTCGACCCCCCCGAGTCGATCGACCCCTACCCACTGCCGAATCGAGCTCCGGTCCGAGTCTGACAACACTGGTTTTGGTTGGACAATAATCGCCAACTATTATCATTTATTAACAACACTTACCTTTTTTATGTCACACCTTCAATAATAATTTAGCGTTGTGTTGCATGCGACAATAGTAAGATATATTTAATATATTTCTACATAATTCATACAAATACGCTAACTAAATGATTAATAATTTGATATGTGTAACATGTTTACAAAAGAATGTATTGCACAAACATGTTACTCCCTGTGCTAAAATGAAAAAAATTCCAGCACAAGTGTCGTTTTAGCATAATGAAAAAAATTCCAAAATAAGTGTCGTTCTCACGGATTAAGAAATGATTTTTCTTTTCTCTAGCTACTAGATTCTTTTTGTGTTAGTTTGATCATTTCGTTTAGTGAAAAAAAAAAAAAACTCTTTTCCAATTTTCCATTGAAGAATCCAAAACGAAGAGAGTCAAATATATATAATACTATTGGAAAAAGTGTCGTTTTTTGATTCTAATGTAGTTTTTGTCTTAAATTTTCAAACTTACCCTCAAAAGAAATAGTACTATTGACAAACATTTACAGTATTTTAATGGGAGTAGTTGAGGATATTCTAGTAATTTATCTACCTCAATTAAGTGTTTTTTAAACTGTGTGCAAGTTGTAGCATTACACACATTTTGGACTGGAGGGAGTATTATTCTTTCGCTAAAAAATTGATAAAAAATAGTATCAATACAGCTAAAGTATATTCTAAAAAAATATTAATATATTTATATAAATAGAACAATGAGTTACACGTATGCAAATATTAGTTTGTATAATTGAGTTTGAAAATAAATAAATATTTATTTAAAGATCATATAAATAATTATTATGGTTATGAAAAGAAGTAAATAGAAATAGAATGAATAGAAAAAATAAATAAAAAGTACAAAGGGATGGCTTTATTAGTTTTCTATATTTTAGGAGCTATTTTATTTTCTAAAACAGTTTTTTTTTTGCAATTAAGTCTATTATTTTATTGAAAAATTTACGAGATTTCGTAAAGTTTGATGGAAATTGTGTCAATTCGACAAAATTGGCTAAATTTTCAAGCAGTATAGATAAAATTGGCTACTTAAAAATTTTTGGGGTAAGGTTAAGAATGCGTGAAAAGTTTTGGATAGATCAACCAATTTTTTATATAAAAAATAGATAAAAATAATTATTCTGACACTAATACAAATCACCGGCCAAAAAATTAAATTCCTTCCCTCCTCAAAGCCATCACCTTAAGCTTGAAAACAATGCTAATAGAAATCGTCTTATATAGTGAAAACATTCTTCAAAATCAGTTCTCTACCAGCAATTACTATAACAGGCACCTAGTGCTCTCTATTAATGCACACCTACTTTGTATAACAGACGCATCCTAACTTTTTACTATTACGAGAATACCACCGCACAAATAAATCCACAAGCTTCAACTAAAAAATATTAATAATTGCTTCATTTTCTCTGAAAAAAAGAAAATTCTCAAATCCAAAACTCTCAATTCTCTCGTATCTTCTTCCTCACTACCGCGCATCTACGAATTTCTCCTCAAATTCTTGAAACCTTCTTCCAATAAATCTGCTTGAAACCTCTCAGGTCGTTTAGAAGTGCAGTTAAGACGCTGGTTTGATGAATTTTGTCCGGAATTTACAAAACTTCCGTTTGGCATTCCAGATCTGATGGTGAAATACACAAAATCAGACGGCAATTCTTCTGCTTTTTCAATTCTGATTATCAAAGTAAGGATTCTCTTTCATTAAAACGAACATTAGTTGTTTTAGATATGAATTTTATAGAAATTAGGGTTTGAAGTGAAAAAATTTATCGTTCGTACTTTTTCTTGAGTTTCTTGATGTTGATTTGATGCATAATTTGATGGTCATTTGTGGTCTTCAAAAATATTCTTTTTATCTGTATATATGTGACGATGTTGTTTTATTTTGTCTTTTAAATATTCGTCCGTTGTATATATGTAATATTCATCCAGTAACCTAAAATATTCATTGATGTACGTTTCACTTGTATCATGATTCTCATGGATACTCATTCCCTGGATTAATGTTGGTCATTGTGCACGACATTTTGTTTGATGTTCATTGTTAACAGCAAAATGTTCATTTTAATACTACTAATGTTCATCCACTAATTGTTGGAGCAGAGCTGATGTTCATTTTGTTTGATATTCATTGATGTTCATCCAATAAACTGAGGAATTCATTTCTGCATTTGTGGTATTCACCCAGTGCCTCCAGAAATACATTGTAGATATGTGATTTCATTTCTAGATTGATTTTCATTGCTTACAAGCAATTGTTCATTTTAAAATTGCTCATGTTTATCGCCAATTGTTGGAACAGTGGTGATGTTCACTTTATTTGATGTTCATTGCTTTCAACCAATTGGTCATTTTAAAATTGTTGTGCATTAGTGGTGTTAATCCAGTAAGCTGAAAATTTTATTTCTGTATGTGTGATGTTCATCCAGCAAGCAAATTCTGGAAATTAAGAAGCACTAATTTGTATGTATGTGATATTCATCCGGTACCTCCCAAAAGTCATTGTATGAGTTGTATTTCTTTTTTTCTTTTTTTTTTGAAAGGGTGATAACTTTTATTAAAGCACAAAGATTACAACAAAGAAACATTACAGGCAAGCTGATGAACCTCATCTACAACGAACCTATCAACTTTGATGATATTGTAATATTGAAACTGACATTTAAGCTGCCTAATATCCTGCACTACAAGTTGGGACTCTACCGAAAAGTCAATGATTGGTGCATCCAAATTTTCTAAGCTACTGCAATCTGTATGAACCTACACTTTGTCTAATCCCAATTGCAACGCTTCTTCGAGGGCCATTTCACAAGCCATTGCTTCAGTTTGAAGCGGCGATAATGCATTAACTTTACATGCTTTCATTTGCATAACAACATCATGCTAAGAGAAAATTTTCCAAGCGATACTGGCTTTCCCCTTTAAAGAATGAAAGGATCCATCAAACATCACTAATGCATGGGAAGGATGCAAAAGTTGATCCTTACCAGAAGAGGTAGTTTTCGACATATAAACTTTGTCAAGAGCAAAGATTGGTACCTGTCATCCAAGCTTGATTCCAAGACTCGGTTGTTTAGCTGCTTCAACTTCAAGGGCGGATGAGAGGACTTGTTAACATACAATGAAAAGATATGGTGAAAGTGGACAGCCTTGACGCAACCCTCGTTTAGGATAAAATATCATTGAAGCTTCACCATTAAAAAGAATAGAGAACCTTACTGTCTTGACACATCTCATTATAAGCTTGATCAATTTGGTGTGGAAGTTCATTTGAATCAAAACTTTATCAAGAAAATCTCAGGACACGCGGTCATATGCCTTGCTCATGTCAATTTTGACAGCAGCTAACCCAACAGGTCCTTGTTGTGATCATATATGTTGTACCAGTTCATGGGCGATAAGAATATTTTTGTTGATATTTCTCCGTGGAATGAAGCCATTCTGACATTCATCAATGAGTGAACTGATCATCATTTTGAGTCGATTGGCAATCATTTTGGCAATGATTTTATGTTTCACATTGCACAACCCGATTGGTCCGAAGTCTTCAAGAGAAGTAGGAGCTAGTACCTTGGGTATAGACACAATGTGTGTTTGATTCCACTCAACACAAATCTCCTGCCGTTGAATGGATCTGAGCACACTTTTTGTCTCAAGTTCTTTAATGTGTTGCCAATAAACTTGGTAAAAGCCTGTTGGAATGCCATCAGGACCTGGGGCTTTCCATGGTGTCATAGCACTAACTGCCTTCCAAACCACTGTTTCAGTAAAGTTACTGTCCAAGATAGACTTTTACTCATCTGTGAGTGACCTGTTGAGTTGTGCCAACACCACACGGATGTCATCTTCACAGCTACTATCCAGGGGATAAGGATCTGGATCTGTGTAACGATGCTTGAAATGATTCTGAATGTTAGTTTGGATCCGCTCTGAATTATAGATCCACTCTCCATGATTATTTTGCAGTTGGGGTAATCCATTTGTTGCCTCTATTCCTTTTTGCTCATATATGAAAAAATTTAGAATTTCGATCCCCCTACACAGGCGAAGTAATCCTTTTTGTCGTTGCCAATAATCAGCTTGGAACTGGTAGGACTCCTCAAGTTGAAAACATAGCTCTTGCACCTTTGTTTTCTGTTTTTGATCTGTCATATTTGCTTCCCACTTGATCTGATTGGCTTCCAGAATTCATTCCATTGAACCGATGCATTTGTCGAATAAGCCAAATGTTTTCTTGCTCCATTCTATAGCTTTGGTCAAGCACCTTGTAAGGTATGAAAACAATCTACCAGTTGGCTCTTGATCAATATCCTATGAGTTTTCCAATTCAGCATGAATAATTTCTGTCATTTTGCCACAGTGCGACTAAAATGCCTCCAGTTTCAATTTTTTTTTGCTCCTCAATCTGAAGCCATGCAATTCCAACAAGAGAGGACCATGATCGGATTTACATATAAGAAGGTTGTGTAAGTGAGCTTTATGGAAAACCTGAATCCACTGCTGATTCGATCTAAGAGCTCGTAGATTTCATGTGATCCCTCCCTATTTTTTTTTCCATGTGTACCAGCACCCCAAATGTTGTAATTCGGTGAGGGAATGCTGTTGGATTAATTCAAAGAGTGGATTGGCTGTGAACTCATTGAATACCTTTCCTCCGCATTTGTCCTCTTGGTTGATAATTTGGTTAAAATCCCCCACAAGGATACTTGGATGTTACACACCCGCTAATGCGTTATTCAACTGATGCCATACATAGGCTCTACCCTGTTGATGAGGATGACCATATAGAAAGACCCCTATCCATTCTAATCCCCATGCTTCAACAAACTTAACAATGATAATTAGTAGACTTAGAAAGAACAGAAACCTTGACTCCATTTATCCAAAATAGACCCAATCCTCCACCATGCCCAAAAGAATCAACCAATGATGCAATACGAAAATAAGTACTCTGCTACCAAGAAGTAAAGTTTGTCTCACCTGTCATAGTTTCCCTGAAAAATGGAACCTCCGGCCGGTACAGTTTCAACAATCTGGAAATAGTTTGCATTTGTAGGGGTCTGACCCAATCCCCTACAATTCCAACATAAAATTCACATGATGACTACGGTGGTTGATTTGGGTAAACAACTGGAAAGCCCAGAGTTTTCAAAAGATTATTGACAGTGTAATTGATGTTCTGTTTCAAAAGGCTATCTTACTGCGCCATACCAAGTCGTGACTTGAGTCTCTTGCTCTGCCTGTCATTCGAGGTTTGCTTCCACCTCAAATAATCCCGTCCAGGAATACCAGGAAAATTTATCAAGCTTACATTTCGCTCCAATTTGTCTACCCGACAACCGGCCAGCTCGCCTTGCTGATGCCTTTTTACGCTTCCTCTTTGATAAGTGGTTCTTGGACCTAATAGAAGAAAGGAACCCGTTAGTAGAATCATAATTGGTGGGCTGCTCCTCTAGTCTCTCGGTTGGCTGCAATTTTGGGCCCAAGTTTAGCACTTGGGATTGCAAGTCCGTGTTGGCATTTTGTGGGCTGTCGTATATGTTTGGTAAGAGGCCCAATTGACTTGCTTCTATTGAAGTTTAATAGGTGCTAATTCGTTCAGATAGTGACACGAGGTGAAGTGCATCAGTCTCATCAGCGCGGTTACAGGAAGGCCCACAAGTCCATCCTCATCTTTACCTTTGACCACCACTAGAAGGCATCTGTATCATCATGATGAAAGCCAGCGTCATCTGTAGATTCCAGTGAGACGTACATGATTTCAACCCCTCCAACTGACAGTAGCTCCTTCCGTTTCCAAACTTGGTTGCCTCTCTTCTCTTGGGATTTCATCGGACCTTGTGTAGATATTGTATAAGAAGATTGTTGTTCGTGACTCTTCGGACAAGGCCTTGGATTCACTGCCCGGCCGATTCTTGAAGATGGAGGGGACCATGATAATTGTTGCCGGCTGGAAAGGGTCAGCACGATTTTGGATTTCCACCTACGATGTACTTGTTGACGATGGCAGGTTGGAAGCACATGATCTGAAGCGCCCTCGACCAAAACAGAGCCAGTCGATGTATGCTGATCCAGACATGGAACCTTTTGCTTAATTAATTGCACAGCTAGCACATCCTTGGCAGTTGGCCTGCTGCCCAATGCTTGAATTGAAACTCTTGACAACCCAGCCCCACGGAGTACATGAAGTGCACAGGAGACATAGTTTCTTATGTTACCCTTGCCGGTGACACGGATCTCATTGGGCTGCAAGAAAGACGATGCTTTAGCTTGGCTACTCAATTGATAGGACTTCGGAGATCCAACCGTATACATATCTTGTATGAGTTGTATTTGTCATATACATCCAGTAACCTGAAAATATTTATCCTCTGTATATATGTGATTTCATTACTGGTTTGATGTTCATTGTTTACAATCAATTGTTCATTTTAAAACTTCTGATGTTCATCCGATAATTGTTACAATAGAAGGATGAGAATCAAACCTGTAAGAAGGGACTCCCCAAAATCAACAAGATCTAGGTTAGACTCAAGCATAGACAACTGGTAATAATCATAACAAACTATAAATCACATATCCCATCAAGGTTGGAAGATTTATCGATCAAAATCACATGCCACAGTTGAATTCCAAGATGCATATACAAAGAAAAAGAAAATATAAATATATATATATATATAGCACCGATATGGAGTATAAATTATTTTAACAACAATGAAACAATTTTTATTCCGGGCAATGAAAAATATGCATCTTTTTATTTCTTTTTTTTTTATGTTGACGTATTAATGTTACAAGTGATAAATTAATTTAAACAATCATTTCTTTTAATTTCTTTTTTAATTTAATACTTATTCTCCCGCACTACGTGAATTGAACTGAATTTATCAATGTTAGCTCCCTCTACATAAAATTTTTCAATTATTTTATTTCATAAACTTATTTTTATTTTCCATCTCTCTATATAATTTTTGCAACCTTTCTTTAGAAATTTGTTCGTATATTTTTCCGATAATATAGTGTTTCCTTAATTTTTTGTTTTCTTGGTTGCGTAGTCTTCATCTTTGTTTTTTTTTCCCCTAAATTTGATGATCTCTCTTTAAAGCATCATTTCTTGAAAAATTTCGATAGTTATTTTATTTTTTCTCACTATTACCATGGTTTCTTTATATATATATATATATATATATTTTCTTATTCTTTATATACTTTTGTTTTTTTGTAGAGAATTGACAAGCCGTCGTCACACTAGTCAAATATTAATTACCTACTTAATACAATTACTAGTAGTAAAGCAGAAAGCAGGGTCGATCCCACAGAGAAGGAATACTAATTACCAGGTATAAATTACTCCTATTATTATCTAGATAAATGATGATCTCAGATTTATAAAATTTAAACCTAAAATAAATAAATGAAATAAAAGCAAATAATATTAATTCAAATAATCAGACAAAGAAAACCTAGGACATTGGGTTCACCTACCGAATATTTGGGTTAATTCAATTCATAACTATCTGACTTTTAACTTCCATTAATCTCACAACGATTCACCTAATTAAGAACTATACACTCTCGTGTTATAATTCTCTTACTTAGATTAACCCTATGACTACTCTCGTGACTATAGGTATTAACAAAAGCACATTAAGACCATTAAGAATCAAATATTGCAAAGGTTATAATCTTACTCTCGTAGCTTATAACCTAAGTTTATTATTCCTACGAACTAATATTAATCTTCCACTCTCGCTACTTCGATTAATATCTTCAGACATGCAAATAGTGGCCAATTACTTACACGAATTAAAACAAGAATAACAAATATTAATTAATGGAAAAATCAAATAAAAATAAACCAAATAAACCAAATAAATTCGGTGGCTACACCCAAGCCCTAGATTAAAGGAATTTAGCCACTAAACATTATTAAAATTAATTCAATAATATTTAGAGACATAAACAATAAATAAATTAAATAAATTAAAACCTCAAAACCGAATGAAGCCAAAAACCCGCCAAAACTCCCCGGATTTGCTGCTCGCTTCACCGCTGCTGCGTGGCTCGCCGGTGAATCAATGATGGAGGAAGACGCTTCAGTGGTGCGGCGTCGGTGATCAGGAGAAGGTGGAGTTGATGCTGCTGCTGTGTGTGCGAAGGCAATGGAGCAGGGTGCGGCGTCGCTTTCTCGGCGGTGAAGAGGCAGAGGTGGCTGTTGCGTGGAGGGTGATGATGATGAAGAAGAGAGGAGCTCCGGTGGAGGGAGAAGACTCGGTGGGAGACAGTTGCAGCGGCGGAGATGGTGTGTGAGCGAGGGAGACAAGGAAGAGAAGAGGCTGCCGGTGAAGGAGGAGGAGAATTGCAGCGGTGAAGAGGAAGGCGGAGAAGGTGAAGTGCGGGGGAGGTGGTTTGCAGCCGTAAGGTTTTCGGCCAGTTTTCGGTTCAGTTCTGTTGTAAAAATAAATCTCTAATCCCCCTTTTATAGGCTTCCGGCTAAACCCTACTCCTTGAAGAACAAGAAAACTTGTTTCCCAATTAATATCGGGATTAAAATTCTTATCCAATTCCAATCCCAAATCGGCCGCATAACCATAACCTTCTCGGCCAATTTTCCGAAAACTTAATTAACCAAATCAAAATTGCATCATTGGCCCTCCAATTCTCTAAACTCATTAATTTCCTCCCCATCAATTGCTTCAATCTTCAATTCGTTCCCATTGAGTTGCTTTTAATTCGATTTTAGCTCAAAACTTCAACAATTCGTCATTTGAGTACAATTCCTACAATTAAAGATAAAATCACATAAATAGCATATTTGTACTCAAAATATATTGCAAAAATCACAAATTAGGGATATAATAAATAGGTAAAATATAAGCATATCAAATACCCCCAAACTTGAATTATTGCTTGTCCTCAAGCAATTCCAAAAAAATTAAAACAAACACAAACATTTAATTATTTAATTTGGCGGCCTCAGAGATTCAATCACATCATATAACATAAAGATTTCGACTACCTCTAGTATGGACTACCGAACAATGCAAACCATAGCTACTTTTAGCCCCCACGCTTGTGTGTTTGTGTTTCGTTTCTCAGGGACATCACTTTACATTTAACATAGAAAACAAAAGCTCTACTGCAAATTTGCCATTTTACTTTAACAACATACTCACATTTCATACCATATTTCAACGCAATGGACCACCAGACATGCTATGAAGTAGAAGGACTTATCTCACAGACAACCTATTCCCCCTCGTAACCCATTCTTCGGTCCATGCAGCTTTTCTTCAGGACTCTTTCCAACTCAGGCCACTACCCAGAGCATTTTTCCACTCCTATACATAGTGGCTCAGCAACTTAGGGCAGTCTATACATCTATTTTCCTCACCGGGCCTGAGGACTCTCCGCTCAGGTTGCCAATTCCTCACCTCTGAAGGGGCTAGCATCAACATTGAATGCTCTTCCTTTTCTCCCTCATTAAAATTTACCTAACCTCAGAAGCATCCGCCAACACCCCTCCCCCAAACTTACTTAACACAAAGTGTCAAAGCAATAAGGTTTTTTAAGGCTGATATTAGGTTAATGCCTTGCTTTTCCTTCACAACATGATGGGTTCCACATACAAATCATATAAGTATGAGTGAATCAAACACAACTTTTCATGGCATATCTACATCAAACTTATGCAACTATATCTCACTTTAGGCTTATCCCACAGTCACGACTAAGTGCAAAAGAAACAGGGTATTCAAAGCACCATACAGAAATACATAAGTTAAGCAATACAATTCAAAATAGTCTAATTCTTACATGTTATAAATAATCAAACCAACTTCATCATAAGCCTTTTTTGGATTTTTGAATTTTTCAATTTTTATGGGTTTTTTTATTTAAGAAAGATAAACACAAAACGCATTCCTCTCCCCCACACTTAAAGTATACATTGCCCTCAATGTATAAAACACAAAAGACAAACAACCAAGTGTAAAGAAAAGAAAAGAAAAAAACAAAAAAAAGAATGAAAAGAAACGACACAACCTTGGGAATGTGAAACAGAGGATTGGAATTGTTGAATAAATTGTTGCAACTGCCATTCAAGCACACGACCAACTTCTTCAGAATTTTGGATGTTTCAGTTTCAGCACCATTGGACACCAGAGTTTTGCCCTTCCAACAAACCTAATTGCAAACTAAGGGAAATTAAAAAAAATCAACCCTAAATACAGATGATTAAGAAAAACCACGAAAATTCAGAAATCAAAGATCTCCAGATAATCAGGAACAAAAAACTTAACCATCAACTTATTAATGAAAGAAAAAGAAAAATAAAGTAAAGCAAAATAAAGAATTGGGTTGCCTCCCAATAAGCGCTTCTTTAAAGTCATGAGCCGGACTATATGGCTGATCAATCAGGTGGACGCTCAATCAAAGAGTGGGAACCCCTTTGATACACCATTCTTCTTTTGTCTCCAACTGCACCTACATCACTGATACACTTGTCAGGAGGGTCATTAAAATTAGCAATAAACACATCATTTTTATCTGGCTCCTTAACATAATCTACTCTAAACACATGATGAGTAAATGCAGGGCATTTGTAATTTTCAGAAAAAGTGAACTCCACAGATTCTTCTCCAATATGAAATTTTAAACTCCCCTTTTTAACATCTATAACAGCACCAGCTGTGGCTAGAAATGGTCGACCTAAAATAATTGGCACATTAGCATCTTCTTCCATATCTAACACAACAAAATCAACAGGGATATAAAATTCTTCACTTTTACTAGCACATTTTCCAAAATCTCTTTCGGATGAGTTATGGATCTATCAGCTAACTGCAAAGTTATGTTAGTTGGTTTCAAATGTTTCAACCCAAGCTTTCTTCAAACAGATAAAGGCATCAATGAAACACTAGCACCTAAATCACATAAAGCTTTATCAAAACAAACATCACCCTTAGAGATAGGAATAGAGAAACTCCCTGGATCACTCAATTTTGGAGGCAACTTTCTCTGAATGACAGCACTACACTCCTCAGATAGTGCAATTGTCTCAAAGTCTTTCACTTTTCTTCGATTTGAGATGATCTCCTTCAAGAACTTCCCATAAGCCGGAATCTGAGCTAAAGCATCTGCAAAAGGAATGTTAATATGTAATTGCCTAAAAATTTTCAAAAATTTCTCAAACAACCTATCTTGCTTGGTCATATGGAGTCTCTGCGGAAAAGGCACTGGTGGAACATAAGGTTTAAGCGGTGGTGGCACATATATCTTTTCTTCCTCTTGTTCCACTTTCTCCACTTTTT